GTTCTCTCAAAGGTCAGGAACTAAGTACTAAAAGCAACCCCCCAACAAGCACATCAGTCCCTTCTGCCAATTAAATGACTTCTATACTTCTCCAGTGAAATTCTATTTCTAAGGGGAACACGTCTTGTTCAATGTAGGTCATCAGGCATTGCAAAAATGGCATTTTCACGGGCTAAGCTCATCATCACACACTGCTGGGCAGCACAGCCTCCCCCGCCTGCCTGGCTGGGCTCTGCGCGGTCACTTGCACAAGCAGCAGAGACCATGAGTACAGCAGCCCACGGAGTTTTACCTCCAAGGGCCTTTGCTCAGGAATGTTTTTTTTTAATTTTTTATTTATTTATGATAGTCACAGAGAGAGAGAGGCAGAGACACAGGCAGAGGGAGAAGCAGGCTCCATGCACCGGAAGCCCGACGTGGGATTCGATCCCGGGTCTCCAGGATCGTGCCCTGGGCCAAGGGCAGGCGCCAAACCGCTGCGCCACCCAGGGATCCCTGCTCAGGAATGTTTAAATCACGAACTAAGGTCTCTGCAAAGTAACTCTAGATCCAAAGCGACAGTTTAGCACATTAAATCAATGTTAGGCAAATACTGGAATGTGAAGTAATATGCTATGACAGACATAAGTTCTTGTAAATACATAACAAAATTAAGGTGAAATGTGACTTACAAAGGACGAGGATACACCAGCATCGCTCAACTACATCCACTTGCATGCTGCAACCACACTAGAAGTAGATAACCAAGTTCATTCCCAACAACATACCCAGTTAGAGATAAAATCCTATCACAAGTAAACACTTCTGTGGGTCAAAAGGACTTAAGTGGCAGCAACTAACTCCTTTTTGATGTACTAACACAATTTAGGAACCCAGTAAATACTAACCCTAACTCATTTTAATAAATGCTTATTTGTAATCCAAAATAAGGGAAAACAGTTAAGATTCTACAGAAGAAAATCTAAGTAGGCTTTTTAAAGTCCTTTAAGAAAATCTGAACTTCAAATATCTGAACTAGGTCAAGGGCGGGGAGATAGGCGAGTTAATTCTGTTGTGCACAGCCACGCAACCTGATGAAGCTCTAAGTCTAGGTTCAGACCTCAAATGGGAATGTCACAGGATAAGGACAAAAGCAATCTGAGGAAGACAGAAGAGTGACAGTGTGGGAAATTAAAAAAATAATAATAATGCATACATGTAAGTCAGCGTTAATTTTATTACTGAAAACTTGGTAAATTATAAAGTGCTTTTATTCCCCTTGAGCAAACTACAGTTTTTAGAAATATATACAGGATCATTCAGGGTTAGAGAGAAGTCCAATTTATGTGTTAGGGCACAAGCTTAAAACTTCTGGAGGATACTGCTCTAACAATACATTTGTGATACCGTCACTTAATACTAACAAGTCAGTACAATCCCCCAAGTCCTACTGTCCCAGATGGTCTTGGTCAGTCACGGGGTTGGGAGCAATGAGAGCTTGAGGCATTGCTGCTTCCCTATAAATAATTCCCTACTTGGGTATGGCAGCAACCTCCTTCACAGAGTAAAACTTTGCATGGGTCGTAGTACTCCATCACAGTTTACCTAGATGACCACTTTAAATTGTATCACTGTGTGTTCTAAGACGGTCTGTGGTGAAGAGAAACTTGGATGCAGACATTACAGTTTTGACTCAGAGCAATTATCTCTAGTTTTATTTTAAGGACTTATCATATTCCAATTACACTTAATACAAAATTGTTCTCCTAAATCCAAAATAAACTTCCCATCATTGCTGTAGAAGCATGAGAATTTTTAATCTCATCAGAATTTTCACTGGCATATTATTTTTTTCCATTGGCGTATTAAAAACAAATCTGAGAATGGCAAAAGGTGAAAGCATGTCTGAATCAAAATGAAAATGTACTGGCCTATTTCACATACTTTTGAAGTACTGACATCACTGGCTGCTGTGGTTGGTGATAAATCCAGAGGGGAAACCTTTTAGTTGCAAATCATAGTAACCTCTCTCAAGTAAGGCTTTTCGGAGCTGGTTTAAGATGACTTCTTCCTTCTCTGCCCTTCACTGATAAGCAATGAAATGATTAAAACTCAGGAAGCAAACAGCATTATCACTGATATTCATCCCTCCAAAAGCACAAGTTTCCAAAAAGATTCCATATGCTGGGAAGTCTCTTTAGAGGGTAACTGTAGGCTAACAGGTTTTCTGTTAATTCCCCGATGCTTTTCTCTTTTCTGGGGGAGCTGAACACTGGAGTTAACACTGAAAAGTCAGCTTCTACAGTAATAGCCACCTCAGGTCAGGAGATGGTCTGAAATAATTCCATAATCAAGACTTGTTCCTCACTAGCTTGGTCACTTTTATGGCTGAATAGATGAACTTAAATTCATCCGTTAAGTCTTCCCACACACTCAGTGATGGGCACCATAGAACTTGTGCTTTGCTTCAACAGCTAATAGCTCATCACTCTACAGCCATCGCTCATCCCCAGGAAGGTTGTTAATGACCATTCTTATTCTCAGAGACTTGTGATGGCCACTGCAATTTTTTTTTCTAAAAATCTGATAACACCTTTATGAAGTGTGACTCCAGTAATCTTGTATCTGTTTAATGAACTTTCTAAATTTAAATTTTAGTTAACATACAGTGCAATATTGGTTTCTGAGTTTAATGAAGTTTCTGAGAGATCTCAGAGCATTTCAAACCATTGGGCAGGATAAGGTATCAGAATAAACACTGGTTTTCAATCTACTTTATTACTTCCCTAATGAAAAGCATCAGGGCACAGGTAACCCAAGGACAACCCCCTTTCAGGCCCATCTTTCAACTCCCTTCAGTCCCCTTGGCCCATATGACACAGTGTGGCCCTATGTTCTGCGTGCATGATAAAGAAAGCACAAATGGACAAAGGCTTGAGGTAAGATAGAGCTGTTTAAGAGTAAAGATGAGTTAGTTGCAAAGGAAATCGATTGCCTATTGCAGACTTTATAGAATTAATCAGCTAGAAGGCTTGAAATAGTTTTAAAAATATGTTAGGGTAACAAAACTAAATTTATTATACTCTATTTTAGTTAGTAATTGACTTTAAAAATAAAACTGATCCGTAGATGACAACAGAGAGTCAGATGTGGCAATGAGTTAATTTAGAAAAGTTTGAGAGATCTTGTGCAGAAGTGGGAAATCAAAGATTTGCCTTTTTGTCCCGCGCCAGTGAAACAGAATTTCACAGGTGAACTGAATGTGTGCACAAAGGCTGACGATGAGACTGTTTAACCACTGATCAAAAAAAAAAAAAAAAAAAGAGGTAATAACTTCTAAATAACATTCCTGAAGACCAGGCTGCTGCCATCCATGCAAACTGTAACTGGTTGTCTCGTTTCACTTAGGGAAGTCAGAACGCCTCTTTAGGAGTCCAGATTCCCATGAAAGGTTTAATGAATGACAAAACTTACCTTAAAATTAACTTAAAAACTAAAGCATGACCAGAAAACAGGCTGAAACACTGATAATTAAATTCAATGAAACTATAGATATCTATGACAAATATATATCCTACAGTTACTTACATGCTGCTAAAGACGAGCCTGCAGATTTGTAAGACCCAAGTGTTTTAACTGCCCCCATCCAACCTCCCTACATCAGATCTGTACAAGCGGTCCTTGAGGAGACACCAAGTAAAGAATTGGTATTTTTCTACCATATTCACAGTGTAGTAAGGAAACAGGTTGGCACATTATTAGAGACTAGTGAAAATCTCCCAACTTTGAGAATTCCCACATACTCTTAGGCAACATTTATAATTTAAGAAAAAAGCTACAACAATCTTATTTAAAAAGTGAGAAAAGACAACACAGCCCTCACCATTATAGTCTTTACATTTTAATCCTCTCCATTAATTCACAATTTTTGGGCTACCAAGTGGTATTAGCACTTACTAATCTAGTTGGACTAGATTTTTCCACAATATTCCATTTTCTCCCTAGCGTTGACATGTCTTACTTGGTTTGGTCTTTGTTCCCAAATACTACAATCAGAGACAGTCTTTAAACAGTGACATTGCAAATTTCTTATGGTTTCTGCTTTATTACATCCTGTTATCCACAGCAGAAGTTGAGATGGACTTACAAAATCATTAATGGAAAGTTCTTCTGCAGGGAGGGTGCTGTATCGCACTACATCATACCAGAAGACAACTCAACCACAATTTCCATACAACGTAAGACACTTAAGTGTTTGTAGACAACTCCAAGATGCCGAATAAAGGAAATATGCTGACTTAACATGGATGAAAAGGATGGAGCTGTTATTTCAGCTATAAAGGGCAAGGCAAACAGACCTTTTCTAGCCATTTAAAAGTTACTCAAAAAAACAAAAAATCAATACAGTTTGAGTAGAAAGGAAAACCAAAAATACTGTAAGCACCTTGAGCAATGTTCTCACATTCTACTAATACGCAAACCTCTCATTTTTTCTTTCCAGGTGGCACAAATTCAATGTGTCTGACAAGAGACTGAAGTCCTTTCAATGTAGGTTTACTAAAGTTAATAAATTCTACATTCTGATTATTCTAAAGAAAAAAAACCTAGAAGAGGGACAGGGAATGTAGTATGAACCCAACGCTGTTCTAAGAATTTTTACCTAAGATGTCATCAACCAATAGTGTGAAGATTTAGTGACGTTTTATTATTTTTGGATAGCAATACCTGCAAGGTGGCATTTTTACTGGCTTGTTTCATACCTCCTTTTTCATTTGCAATTCTAGGTTTTGAAGTGCCTTTTCCCCAAATCTAAGTTCTTTCTCCCAATTTTCATGCTATAAAATTAATTTGCTTTTTAGATACAACACTCTACCACTTAGATGAAACTTCTGTGTTGTAACATAGAAGCTGTGAGTAAATGCTTTATCATTCTTCCCAAGAAATCATTACACTGAGAAAGGATTTAATCAGAGATTTTCCCCTAAAATAAAAAAGGGAGAATGACCACCCTAACAATGATGTGAAAATGGTATACCTTCACTTTTATTCAGAAGTTACTATACATTGCGGGTATGCCCTTTCAAAGTTAACTCTGATATGAAAAAAAAGAAAAAAAAGCTCTTTTAAACCTCACCTATTTTTTAAATGTTTGACACCTTTTTTTCTTAATAGTCTTTCAAAGGAATCAAAACTCAAATCTAAACACCTCAGCCCTTTTTTTCAACCATAAATGAATAAAATCATAGGACTTTGGACATACACAACCACAGCAGTTTTTTCTTGTTGTTCATATATACCATTAAGTGACTTCAAGTGCAATGAAAAGCTATAGCACTTACTTCCAGATCAGTTCACATTCAATCTGCAAGCTTTTGTCTCTTTTCACAAGAAAATACAAACTGATCCCAAACACATTAAAGTACATCCGTGCATTAAATCCCTGCGCATTTCGCATAAAGAGAAGTAGAAAAAAAGTCAAACATGTTCTAGTGCTCAATGTAAACATTTTTGAACTATTAATTATTTATTAATTTTCCTTAAAGTACTTAGGAGTGTGTGTCACATATTCAAAGTTAACCTTAGGAATAGCACCATGACCAAAAAAACCCATAAAAATGATTCTCACTATAATCCCTTAGTTTTACTTCAGAACATGAGAAGCTACCATTGCCAACCATGCCTTCAAACTCACGAGGCCAAATTCTTGTTTTTTTTACCCAGATGAAACCCAAAATACAGCCTTCTGTACACAACGGTCTAACCATTTTGGACAAAAAGAAAAATTAATAATTGGCTGACTGGCCAATCTATGACCAGTTAATTCAGTCCAAAAGATAAGAATAGTTCTACTGATGTAGCCTAAATGATCAAAGTCTCATTTTACCTAAAGAATTTATGTATTTATTAACATATTCTAAGTTTTATTTATGGATTTTTTTGGTACCTTTTTGCAGATGATGGTAAACATGGAGTTATAACCCTGAGAATAGATATAAAACAGAGAAGCTTTAGAATAGTTTAAATAAATTAATGGATAGGCTATCTATCACCATTGCTTAAAACTAGGGAAGTAAAGAACATTCCATTAATGTTTTCAGGTCAATAGTCAAGGACAATTCTCCTGAATCACTCTCTTTACTATACACTTAACACGAGCTTTATAAGAAGAGCATCATAGTTTTGAAGTGGTGATAGCTCTTTAAACAACCAAGGGAAGGGTAGGTCTCTCCCATCTATCTCAGTTGGTTATGTCCAAAAACAGCCTTCCCCTTACATTAAAGTACAGAAGTACCTCCTGCCATGTCGAATGGAATAGATAACTGCAAAGTAACAACACTTGAGAACATTCTCTAACACTGACACCAGAGTCTGATGCTTTTCCATACCTGACACCTTCAGGATACACAGGAGAAAAGGGTTAATTTTGTCTGAAACCAAACACAGGGCCAATAAATAACAAAGGTGGGAGTACTGTAACATACTCCTCAGCTACAAAATATGTAAACCATTTGAATCAAGTCCATCTTCAGGCACAAACAAGCTAGGAATGGCCACCTACACTGTATGGAGTAGCACATAGCACAACCTATCACGCAAAAATATTTGGCTCGAAAATAAGTGTACTTATTTGATGTATTTGATGTGATAGAAGTTTCATTTTAAATGGATTCCAAAATTATTTTCCCACAACACGACAGTTTCTTAAGATTTAAACTAGAGGTCACTAGTAAAGATACACTTAGTTGCCCCCGCAAAGAATGCCTGGGATTGCACATGGCAGCAGTAAGCTAAAACAAAGAGATGGAGAATGACATTGAACTATTTTCCTATATAGAGGAGATTTGCGATTGCACTCTTAACAGAACTCAACTCTAATCTCAATGGAAATGGGGGGAAACTACATATAATTTAAATACTCTCTTGGCCCTGCACACTCTATTAAAGAACACACTTTTCCTAAATCTAAGGCACACAAACTCCTCTATTTCACAGAGTAAGACTATGGAAGACCAAGATTTTGGTTAAATCCCTTACACAGAAACCAGGAGATCTTGGAAAGACAAATTATATAGTATTCTGTTAGTGCACAATTTAAAAGAAAATGCTAGGACCATGGTCGGGGCCTTACAGGTTTAAAATATACAATCAAAACATTTTAAAAAATAATTTACCAGCACTTTATAAATTCAAGTTTATAAAATAAAAGTGATGATATTTTCCTTAAAAATAAAGAAAAAGAGAGAAAAGACCCAACAGCATTTGGAAAGAAACCATTTCAATGAAAATGACCAAATCTGGTATAATGCATTCTGCTCAAGTAGCCAGGGAAAGAAAAAAAGAAAAAAAAAAAAAGTGGTAGGTACCTCGCCTACTAATCATGGTTACACCTCCCATGATTGTAATGTCAGTATGCACATAATATTCATGAAGAATCTGTAAACATAGGTCACGTGAAAATGTTTTACTACAACAGGACAGGGGTTAGAAACTACCACCTCTTGAAGCATTCAGAAAGTAACTGCGTGACACTTGCTACCATGAAAGTAATGCTTATCGGTTTTGATAACCAGGATGTCTAGTGTTGAACAGATTTCAAATTCTTGCTATCTGTAGTTAAATACTGTCAAAGTAGATCTGCCCCCAAAATGAAGCATATTTTGGCACCTGTGCTGAGCGCTGCTACAAAGGCAAGCAAGTGCAAATAAAAATAACAGTCATGATTTAGTCACATTCATAACTTTTCATAGAAAAATATAAATATATTCCCTGAATTGTAGGACAAAAAATAATTTCAACAGCCCACTTTCACCATAAATTCCAGTCCATTTCCTCTTTCAATGAACTGGTTTTCTCTCAAGGTCATAAGGTGCAATCATCAAAATCTAACACATTTTCTAAGCTTCTGTCGTCATCCCCATCATGGTATCTCACGGTCCTTCTGCCCTGATTTCTCGTTTTTATTTTCGAACGTCGAAGACCTCTTTTTGATTTTGCATAGTCCAAGTCCTCCCAGTCGTTATCGTCCACACTTAGCCTAGGCCGTTTGCTCTGTCTCTGTCGCCTCGCACGTCTAGATGCTGCGGCTGTACAAGCTTTACCTTTTCTCACCGCTTTTGCTTTTCCTCTCGTTTTCCTCTTTTTGGTTTTCGCATCCTTGGCACAGTCCACGTCTGATTCAGTCACAGACACCAACTCAGAGTCGGATTTGGGGCCAGGGTCAGGCCCAAGCTGGGAAGCACCTGCTGTTTCAGCCCGCACGCCCTCCTCGGGCTCAGGATGCAGCCGCTTCCTCCTCACCTCTGCCCCGGCGGCCTGCGACGCCCGCAGCACTTTGGTCTTGCTGAACGGGGCCTTCCCGTAGGTCCTAAGCCTCCTGCCGTTCCACCTGCGCAGCCCGTAATTCAGGTCCTCCTCGAATGTATTCTCTGCAGTAGCTTTCTGCACCAAAGCAGATTCTGAAGGACATTTTCTATCCATCTCACCCCCTGGAATATGGCTTTTTGACTCTTCCTCTGAAGACCCAATCGAGGAATTCTTTGTGTCAGAAGGTCCAACATTTGTTCTGAGACTCTTGCTGTGCCTCTTCTTATGGTCGGGGCTCAGCAGACCTTCGGAGTCCGAGTCTCCATTTACAGACGGACGAATACTCTTCGTACTGCCTTCCGAGTCTGCTTCAGGTGGCCTCCCTTCGCAGGCACACTTCTCATTTGGCACTTCACAGTTTACGTCTCCCTCAGAATCACTCACCATCTTCTTCGCTGTGGCACCTGCAGAATGGAGGGGCTTTTTCCTTCCATTTTTGCTTCTAGTACACATGCTTTCTAAGCAGCGATCTTCCACGTCACTCATGAGCTTAATCTTACTGGCAGCAGTAGTTGCACATCTTCGAGGAGTCCTGAGGAGACCCATTCTGGCTTTTGATGACTTCTTAACCACCTTTGAGTTGCTGTCTGAGTCACTGGAACAGACCCTTTTCCTGGAAACTTTTCTGCTCTGACCATGGTCCTGTGATGCAGAATCTAGAAATTAAAAATTAAAAGTATTTCTTTAATCTCCAAGAGTATGTGTAAAGGAATTAAACGCTCAACAGGTTAAACAATGGAAGTCCAGAATTCTTCCTGGAAGGAGGATGGCAGTGAATGCTGGGGCTCGTAATGCCTCAGAGCAGTGACCTCTGTGCCACCTCAGCACCAGTCACTGCCCATCAGTAACCCCCCCCCCCAGGTCCTGCTACTGACACACACAGGACACTTGAACAAATATCTACATGAATAACATGAATAGAGACTAAACTCTCTTTACCTAGGCAGTAAGGTATGCTAACTAATCACTCTCCACCTCTCTGAAACTTGTGTTCACTTCTCAAGTTCCAATCGCACCAACACCTTTAATCTTAGTTTCAGCTGCCTCCTGCTCTTCCATAGTTTTCATCAGCCTCACCTACCAAGGCACAGTCTTAAATAATCAAGTGATCTTCACTCCTCTGCCCCAGAGTTATGATGAGTAAAGTGGACAATAATACTAACCTAACACCCATCTCAGAAAAGATATGAAGACTGAACTAGCTAGTATGTGCAAGCATGGGGAACAGCTTCCTGCCCTACAGAGCAGCTCGGTGGCCACTCTGCTGGCGAGCTGCTATTCTTACTCAGACATCCCTCTCAGGCAGACAGTCCTACCCTTTTCTTTCCTCTTCCAAAACTGGTAACACCACAGCTTGTAAAGGTACTTTGCCTCTGGCTTTTCTGAAACCCACACCTGCTACAAGACGTGAGATCTTACTAGATAATAGCTGTTTGGCCAAGATTGCCTGTTATGTGAATAAAACTAAACATACTTAACCACCAGGTACACATGCACACAGATCAAGGATGCACAGAAAAGACTGAGAATGCACAGGGTGGACAGAAAACTGGCAAAGAAAAGTTTCATGGGGAAAAACAGTGTATGCTATGAGGAGAGAAAAACAGTGAGAACAGGTCAGTGAACCAAGGTTACGTGTTTTGAATTACCTTTCATAAAGTTGTTTGGTTTTTCTTTTATTTTGTCATCTGAATCCAAATCAGTCTCAGATACGTGATCTGAGAAGCAATGGGACCCAGCAGTGGGTTCACACTTCGAACCCCCTCTAATCAGGTTCGCTTCCATTCTGTGACAGCTGCCATCTTCTCTATCTTGCTCTTCAGATTCGGAGTCCTCCGAGTCACTGAAGATCTTTGCTTTTTTAAGGAAAGCAAGATTCTTGCGGCCTGTGTTGTATTTCCTACCGGCATACTTTCTTGGTTCAGAATCTGCTTCCTCTTCTTCCTCTGAGGCACTCTCAGCCTTAAGTTTCTGCCCAGATGTGGATGGACCAGCAGTTCTGTTATGTACATTATCTGAATCATGACTTTTAGAATCTTCCTCAGAGGACTCTATTTTAAGAAATTTTGTTTTAGAAGTTGCTGGAGTATGTGACTTATAACCATTGGCATGCCAATTTTTGCGGGCTACTCGCAAATCACTTTCTGACTCTGAATCCCCATTTTCAGACTCATTCACAGTATTCTGGGCAGCATGAGAACTGGCCAGTGGTGATGGCTGATTTCCATCTTTCAGATCCTCTTCTTCAATCTCTGACTTTAAGCTCTGATCATCTTCAGAATTGTGTAATAACTTTTTTCTAGCCACAGCAGAAGCATTACGGTGAGGCAGCTTACGTCCAGAACAGACACTTTCAGAGCTGGAGTTCTCTTCCACGTCACTCATTAGTTTTATCTTATTGGCAGCCACAGCAGCACACTTCCGGAGCACTTTCCGGTTATTTCCAGCCCTGGCTTTCAGACTTTCACCAGTCTCCAATGAATTGTTATCCGAGTCACTTAAATAGACTCTCTTTCGAGTGGCTTTTTTGCCACAACCATTCTCTAAAGAAACTGGACCTAGAAATAAAGTAGCAATAAGATTAAAAAGCTCTTCCTTATTTCAACATGTTTAATGAATTGATTCTTTTAGAACTGTTTTTCTCTGCCTCTTAATGCCAAAACAGATTTCCCTTCTAAATCTAAAAAGCCCTAAGGGGCAATTTACACGTTCAATGCAATCCCTATCAAAATACCATGGACTTTCTTCAGAGAGTGAGAACAAATTATTTTAAGATTTGTGTGGACTCAGAAAAGACCCCGAATAGCCAGGGGAATTTTAAAAAAGAAAACCATAGCTGGGGGCATCACAATGCCAGATTTCAGGTTGTACTACAAAGCTGTGGTCATCAAGACAGTGTGGTACTGGCACAAAAACAGACACATAGATTAATGGAACAGAATAGAGAACCCAGAAGTGGACCCTGAACTTTATGGTCAACTAATATTCGATAAAGGAGGAAAGACGATCCACTGGAAGAAAGACAGTCTCTTCAATAGATGGTGCTGGGAAAATTGGACATCCACATGCAGAAGAATGAAACTAGACCACTCTCTTGCACCATACACAAAGATAAACTCAAAATGGATGAAAGATCTAAATGTGAGACAAGATTCCATCAAAATCCTAGAGGAGAACACAGGCGACACCCTTTTTGAACTTGGCCACAGTAACTTCTTGCAAGATACATCCACGAAAGCAAAAGAAACAAAAGCAAAAATGAACTATTGGGACTTCATCAAGATAAGAAGCTTTTGCACAGCAAAGGACACAGTCAACAAAACTCAAAGACAACCTACAGAATGGGAGAAGATATTTGCAAATAACATACCAGATAAAGGGCTAGTTTCCAAAATCTATAAAGAACTTATTAAACTCAACAGCAAAGAAACAAACAATCCAATCATGAAATGTGCAAAAGACATGAACAGAAATCTCACAGAGGAAGACATAGACATGGCCAACAGGCACATGAGAAAATGCTCTGCATCACTTGCCATCAGGGAAATACAAATCAAAACCACAATGAGATACCACCTCACACCAGTGAGAATGGGGAAAATTAACAAGGCAGGAAACCACAAATGTTGGAGAGGATGTGGAGAAAAGGGAACCCTCTTACACTGTTGGTGGGAATGTGAACTGGGAGCCACTCTGGAAAACTGTGTGGAGGTTCCTCAAAGAATTAAAAATAGACCTGCCCTACGACCCAGCAATTGCACTGTTAGGGATTTACCCCAAAGATTCAGATGCAATGAAACGCCGGGACACCTGCACCCCGATGTTTCTAGCAGCCATGTCCACAATAGCCAAACTGTGGAAGGAGCCTCAGTGTCCATCGAAAGATGAATGGATAAAGGAGATGTGGTCTATGTATATAATGGAATATTACTCAGCCATTAGAAATGACAAATACCCACCATTTGCTTCAACGTGGATGGAACTGGAGGGTATTATGCTGAGTGAAGTAAGTCAATCGGAGAAGGACAATGTATGTTCTCATTCATTTGGGGAATATGAATAATAGTGAAAGGGAATATAAGGGAAGGGAGGAGAAATGTGTGGGAAATATCAGAAAGGGAGACAGAACATAAAGACTACTAACTCTGGGAAATGAACTAGGGGTGGTGGAGGGGGAGGAGGGCGGGGGGTGGGGGTGACTGGGTGACGGGCACTGAGGGGGACACTTGACGGAATGAGCACTGGGTGTTATTCTGTATGTTGGTAAATTGAACACCAATAAAAATTAATTTATTAAAATAAATAAATAAATAAATAAATAAATAAATAAATAAATAAATAAATAAATAAATAAATAAATAAAAAGCCCTAAGGATGGGGGTGTTCTGGGTGTTTCAAGTTAAGTATCCAATTCTTGATTTTGGCTGAGGTCATGATCTCAAGGTTGTGAGATCGAGCCCTGTTGTGTGCTAGGTGTGGAGCCTACGTAAGATTCTCTCCCCCCTTCTCCCTACCCTAGCTCAAGCGTTCTCGTTTTCACAAAAAAAAAAAAGGGAAAGAAAAAAGAAAAGAAAAGAAAAGAAAAAGAAAAAGAGAAGAAAGAGAAAGAGAAAGAGAAAGAGAAAGAGAAAGAGAAAGAGAAAGAGAAAAAGAAAAAGAAAAAAAGAAAAAGAGAAAGCCCAAAGGATGGAAAGGATGGAAGAGAGCTCTCAGAACAAACCCACACATATATGGTCAATTAATTTACAACAGAAAAAGCAAGAATATACAATGGAGAAAGTATAGTCTCTTCAATAAACAGTGCTGGGAAAACCAGACAGCCAACATGCAAAAGAAGGAAACAAGAGTACTATCATTCACGTACACAAAAATTAACACAAAATGGATTTAAAACTTGAATGTAAGATCTAAAACCACAAACCTCCTAGATGAAACGCATTGATCTTGCCCATGTTTTTTTTTTTGGAACAAAAGGCAATAAAACGAAAAATAAACAAGTGGGACTACATCAAACTAAAAGCTTCTGCACAGCAAAAGAAATCATCAACAAAATAAAAAGGCAACCTACTGATATGCGCAAATCATATGTGTGATAAGGAGTTAATTAGTCAAAATAAAGAACTCATACAATTCACTAGGAAAAATAATCGGATTTAAAAATGCAGAGGATCTCAGGAGACATTTTTCAAAATACGGCACACAAATGGTCAACAAGAATGTGAAAGGATGTTCAACATCAATAAGGGAAATGCAGATCAAAAACCACAGTGTGATACAGTGTGATACCACCTCAAACCTGTTAGAATGGCTGTCATCAAAAAGACAAGAAAAAATGTTGGCGAAGATGTAGAGAAAGGGAAACCCTCATGCACTGTGGGTGGGAATGCAAGCTGGTGCAGTCACTGTGGAAAACAGCATGGAGGTTCTGCAAAAAGGTAAAAACAGAGCTACCCTATGATCGATCCAGCAACTGCACTTCTGGGTATTTACCCAAAGAAAATTAAGCACTAATTTTTTTTTTAAGATTTTATTCATTTATTTATGAGAGAGAGAGAGAGAGAGAGAGAGAGAGAAGGGGGGGGGGGCAGAGACACAGGCAGAGGGAGAAGCAGGCTCCATGCAGTCCCAACGTGGGACTCAATCCTGCGTCTCCAGGATCAGGTCCTGGGCCAAAGGCAGCACTAAACCGCTGAGCCACCCGGGGCTGCCCCTAAGCACTAATTTAAAAAGATATCTGCACCCCAATTTCATTGAAACATCATTTACAAAAGCCAAGACATGGAAATACCCTAAATGCCCATTGATGAATGAATGGAAAAGAAGATGCAGTATACACATACAATGGAATATTAGCCATAAAAAGGAATGGAACCTTGCTATTTGTGACAACATGGATGGACCTTGAAGGTGTTTTGGTGAGCGAAATGAGTCAACAGAGAAAGACAAATACTGTAGGATTTTCACTTACATGTGGAACCTACCACACAAAAAAACCAAGTTCACTGATACAGAGAACAGACTGGTGGGGGAAGGGGAGGTAAAGAGGGTCAAAAGGTACAAATTTCTAGTTGTAAGTCACAGGGATATAAGGTATGGCATGATGACTGTAGTTAAGCATATTTGAAAGTTGCTAGGGGTAAATTGTAAAAGTCCTAATCACAAGAAACAAAGAAAAACTTTATATATAGTAACTGATGGTAACTGTACTTATTGTTATCATTTTGCACTGTACACAAATATCAAATCGTTTTGTTCTACCCCTGAAATATGTCAATTATATCTATTTTTATAAAAACTAAAAAGAACATTTAACCATACATAGTAGATGTACTAAAACAATAAACCATTCCATGCTTAGCTTATGGATTCCCTTGATACACATTCCTCCAAAGTACCAACCACTGAGTCTCTTACCAGTTTTTCTTTGAGCAGCTCTGGTTCTGGTCACCCTGAGATTACTGCTTCTGGCCAGCCCACTACGTAAAGAAGATTCACGAGGTCTTGAACTCTCTTTGCTTTCCTCTGAACTATTTGAAGCTGATGATGAAGAGGTACCTAAGGAATCTTCCATTTCACTTTCTAAGAAAAATAAAGCATCAACAGTTCATCACACATATTTTGTCTTTACACACACAACTGACTAAAAGCAGATTCTCAAAATACTCAGAAGTGATATTTTTAAAAAACTGTTTCAAAGAATAGCTCATAAAATTGTGGCATTAAAAAGTACCAAATCAGCACTCCAAATCAAGCTTGCTCTCTTCTTTCTGAAAGTAACATATTAATCCTGTATTGGATTCAGAAAATAATTTATGTATTTTATAAACTTTTTTTTTAATTTTTATTTATTTATGATAGAGAGAGAGAGAGAGAGAGGCAGAGATACAGGCAGAGGGAGAAGCAGGCTCCATGCACCGGGAGCCCGACGTGGGATTCGATCCCGGGTCTCCAGGATCGCGCCCTGGGCCAACGGCAGGCGCTAAACCGCTGCGCCACCCAGGGATCCCTGTATTTCATAAACTTCTATTTAAAAATGTAACTAGCTTCCCCATCTACTTCTATCCTATGAGATCGGTATTTCCTGTAGGACAGACAACCGCTGAGTCCCATGTCAGCAGACAGGCTTTCAGGCCTTTTGCTAGTAATGCCTGTAACAGCACAGTAGTAGTACCACACATGTTTTCAGCTCAAGAGGTCATTTTTGCATGTTCCACCAGAAGGGGGGACAGGGGAGGGATAGAAAAAAACAAGATAAATAATTTAAATAGTACAGGTCACTTCTCCCTACTACCTTCACTGAATGAGTGCATGCTCCAACGTGAACATTGCACAGGAATGTTTCCTGCTCTTTTGTCTACTCCATTCTTACACGTATCACAGAATGAGAGTTTCATAAAAGTGAGTGGGAGCATGCTGTTAAAGATAAAATTTTGCTCCACAAATACAACCCAACTCCACATTAAAGAGAGTGGCTGCATTAGGACACCAATCACCAAGTTGTGTTTCTTCCTGAAACAGCTCTGCCGTTTGTCACTTTGACTGCTCCTATCCTAATATTCCACTCTACTCCCCAGCAGGTTGATCCAGTTTCCAGATTCTTCCCCTTCCCTGCATATTATTGCCAAAGTGACTGAGCCTCTAGAAATAGAATTCATCATGTGATTCCCTTACTCATCAAGGGACCCAATTAAGTAACCCAAACTCTTCTGCAAGGCTTGCCACTCTAATATGTGGCTGCACTCTCTCTGGTCCTATTATTTTAGTTTTTTATTAAATATTTTATTTATTTATTCATGAGACACAGAGAGAGAGAGAGAGGCAGAGACATAGGCAGAGAGAGAGAAGCAGGCTCCCATGCAGCAGGGAGGCCGATGTGGGACTCACTCCTGTGACCCCAGGATCACACGCTGAGCTGAAGGCAGACGCTCAACCACTGAGCCCACCCAGATGTCCCTGGTTCTATTATTATTTTTTTTTAATTTTTATTTATTTATGATAGTCACAGCGGGGGGGGGGGGGCAGAGACACAGGCAGAGGGAGAAGCAGGCTCCATGCACCGGGAGCCCGATGTGGGATTCGATCCCGGGTCTCCAGGATCACGCCCTGGGCCAAAGGCAGGCGCCAAACCGCTGCGCCACCCAGGGATCCCTATTATTTTAAATTATAGTAATTTTTACACTATCATCACAAGTCGCCAAAGTCACTCTTGAGTAACAGAGAAGTAAACATACACCACAGCCTCATTCCTACAATGTTAACAAAGGGTTAGGATCAGCTTTAGTTATACTACCAAATAGCCAAGAACATAAACAGTTTAGAATTCACTAGGCCATCCAGTTTTAAGCTCACATGATTACCTTGGTTTTTTTTTTTTTTTTTTTTTTTTTTTTAATTTAAAGAAAAACAAAAGCGGGATCCCTGGGTGGCTCAGCAGTTTAGCGCCTGTCTTTAGCCCAGGGCGTGATCCTGGAGTCCCGGGATCCAGTCCTGCATCAGGCTCCCGGCATGGAGCCTGCTTCTCCCTCTGCCCGTGTCTCTGCCTCTCTCTACGTCTATCATGAATAAATAAATAAAATCTTTAAAAGAAAAAGGAAAAAGAAAAGCATCTATTTTGGATACAAAGTGTGATATTTCTATCCCATTATTTAAAATGCAGAAGATTAGGGGCGCTTGGTTGGCTTAGTCAGTTAAGTATCTACCTTTTTGGCTCAGGTCATGATCTCATGGTCCTGGGATGACGCCCTGCACTGGGCTCCCTGCTGAGCAGGAAACCTGTTTCTTCTTCTCCCTCTGCTGCTTCCCCTGCTTATGCTCTCTCGTTCTCTCTCTCAAATAAAATCTTTTACAAATAAAATAAAATATAGAAGATTCAAGTATGCAGAGAATGTGGCTGTACCATTTGCAAAGACCAGCATTTATCAAACATGCTGTAACTGTTCCTATTTGTTACTTTTGATTTTTCCAATGAACTGTAAATTGCTGTCAGGGCTAGTCTTATTTCCTTTCTCCTCTAAACCCACAGTAACTAGCAATGCTACACAGTTAAATAACAATGTTCCCATCTCACCAGATAATGTAGAGCCATTGTTTAGAGTGACAGGCCTACTTCTCATTCTTTCTGATGATCCTGATCCTGCTGAATCTGAGGAGTCCCCAGACGTCATACCTGAAGAGACACTAGCACTGGTCTTGTGGCTTGCAGAATAAGCAGCCCTACTGGAGGTAGACTGAGTAGGAGAACCTACCAATTCAGGAATTACTTTTGTCTGAGATTTTAACCGCTTCTGCTTGATATTTCTGGTCAAAGACATGAACAAAGGAAACAAAATTTAATTAAACAGAGAATGCCTAAGTATACTATTACTTAACCCAAGAATTTTATGATCAAAACATTAAAACATTCATTGTTAACATCTTATTCTGACATGGATTACTACTAATATTCTTACTCTAAATCTGACATAATTTTACCCCAAACTGGAGTAATGAACAAATTATCCAGTAGTAAAGTTACAAAATAAATTCTCTGGATTTAAATGCCAAAAGGAGCCAACATATATATAGGCATTCATTTATATTACAAAACTGAGTCTCAATAAGACACAATTTTCTCTCTGGTCTATTTATATGTTCCGAAAGACAGTATAAAATTAAGAGGAGATATCAACAAAACCTAAACAGTAAGAACAGAGGCAAAAAAGAGATCACAACAAAATAGTTTTTATTAAGACCAATCTGTATACTTCTAGGTACCAACTAGTTCACCATGCTGGGTCTCAAAAGCCATGGATCATGAAGAAAAAGTAGAAGTTTAGGACAAGACAGTCTTAGGTTTTAAATTACAGATCTGGGTAATATTCATGTTGAGTATTTTCATTTAAAACAAGATAAAGGAGCTTTTAAAGAGTATCCAAGGCATCTGAGCTTAAAGATAACCACAAGATTCTTGAAAGCAGTAACTATTTATCATCAAGAAATTTCAAAGCTTATTATGTCAAAATATTAACTTCCATTACGAACTAGAGGGCAGACCAATAAATACAAAAAGAAAGAATTACATGCTTATATTCATCATAAACTTCATTTCAAACAGAAGACAAAGTGGTAAACACCACCAGAGTTAAGAATGTTCCCTTTTTATCCTAGGTCTTTCTTAAGTGTTACTCTTCATTGGTTCAAAGAAAGAGTTTTTTAAAATAATTAAATGAAAAAACTCGTATGATAAGAGAAAAACCAAACTGAGGGTCATTTTATAAAATAAATGGCCCATACTCTCCAAAAATGTCAATTAAGAAGACAAAAGTTGAAAATAAAAGTCTTGATTAAGTCTGAAGAGTGGGCGCCTGGCTGGCTCAGCCGGTGGAGCCTATCACTTTTGACCTCAGCACTGTGAATTCGAACCCCACACTGGCATAGAGATTACTTAAAAAAATAAAAAATAGGACTATGTGATGATTAAATGAGTTAATTTTTTTTAACAACTAAAGAGACAATAACTATATGCAATGTCAAATCCTCATTTGAGTCTAGATTAGGAAAAAAAAAAAATTGTCCTAAGAACATCATTGGGTCAAACAATAGTAATACAGTAAGTAAGGTGTAGTTAGAATCCTACTAACCTAAAAAGCAAACCCACACTAAGTATTTAGGTAGGATCTGTAAAGGTTTTCTTAGAAATATTCTTTTGAATGATTTAGAAGAAAAATACCTAGCAAAAAGATAAAGCAATGATAAAGCAAATGTGACATACTATGAAAAATTGGTGAGTCCAGGTAAGGAGTATAAAAAAGTTCTTCTGATTATTATTCAACGTTACCTATAATTCTGAAATTATTTCAAAATTCAAAGTTGGAAAAAAAAAGAGGGAGGGAGGACTCACATAGTACTTCGTAACGTATGTCCCTGAATTACAGGCTATAAAGCAGCTAAACAGGACAAATTCAGTTACCCAAGGAGCACATGTTTACTTGCTTCAGGGCAGCTCTGTTATTCTAAACAAGGAGATGAAGATGCAAGGAGGACTTTGGCAGATCCTCTCACCCAAAAAAGCAAAGATAAAACTGGCAAAATCATCCAAAAAAGTCATTTCACAACTGTGGGAAACAGTCACAGGCACTTAACAAATTAAAAAGTGTTTATTCAAGAAAACCTTCTGAATCTAAGAAAAAACTTAAGAGTTTTTGGCATTTCACCTTTGGGCTCCTCCTAGTCACACACACCCCAAACCTGTGGCCCAGCCTTGAGGATCAGGATGAGGAAGTGGAGGGAGCTGGTGCCTGATTTGGGAGCTTCACCAAATAGGGACATGCCCTATCCAAGGGCACTACACTCACTGCTGGCAAATCCAGCCAGGCCAATCCTAGAGCTGCCTAAGCTGCCACACCGGTGAAAGTAACAAGAGTTCAGTCAAAAATTTAAAGGCATCTAGAGAATGAGAGACAGTCACAGGAGTCTCTGAAAAGCTCCAGTGTCTTCCTGGGGATGTGGAAGGTTCTACACATACTCAACAAAGAGTAGAGAGAGTCCTGTTATCTAGTCGTCCAAGGATGACCTTGAGACTCATGCCTGAAATATGTAAGTGGAAAGTGAAGTCTGCTTCACTCCACATAAACCTTCAAAAAGTGTGGAAGGTTTACTGAAAATGTTTAAGCACAAACTTCTGACCACTGAGCTATGCTAAGTCAGGGAAAACAGCTGGGAAGACAAGCCAAAAAAATTTTTTAAATTTTTTAAAAGCAGACTTCTGTGGCTTAGCATTTTAGGAAACACAGACTACTAAAGTGGTTTAGGAGACTCACTAAACAAAGCCAGCAGCAGCAAGCACCATCACAGGGAGAAGGATCAGAATCCAGAGTTTCTACAGTAGGTCAACAAACAGCGAGAAAACCTGAAGAGATGGTATGTCCAAAATGGCCATGTTGTATTAGCAAGTACGTCCTGTTTCCAACAAAATAATAGAAGACCTACCAAGAGTTAAAGAAGTCCACCCATATACAAGTAAAAATGCAGGCAACAGAAAATGTCTCTGAAAGGACACAGATGTTGAACTAAGGATATTTAAATCAATTATTATAAACCCATTTGGAAGAACAAATGATGTTTACAGAATTAAAGGAAAGCACGATGACGGAGAACATCAATGAAGACACAAATTATTAAAAAAAAAAAAAGATTCTGGAGTTGAAAAGCACAGTAGCTTAAACAGACATTCAGAAGACTGGTCCGGCAGCAGATGTGTGCTGGTACAGGAAGCTGTGACCTGACCAGTCAATGAGCATTACCCCAGATGAAGAACAGAAAAAGAAGGAAAAATGAAGGAAGCTTCAGATGTATAGTAGGAGTCCCCAAATGAGAGGGAAGGAGCAGAAAATATTTGAGTAATGGCTAAAAACCACCCAGATTTGATGAAAAACATTGCTCTACAAAGTTGGAAAAATTCCTACACACATCATAGTCGGTTGCAAAATGCAGACAGAATTTTGAAAGTAGCAGGAGAAAAAACCATTCTGTATGTACAAGGGAGGGAATGTCAGCAATAAAACTCACCAACTTCTCATCGGAAACAGCGGGAGGTGAGCAGGCAGGCAGTGGGAGGCAATACTAAAATGTGGGGGTGAAGGGGTAATTCTACAACCTAGCAAAACTAGTCTCACACAAAAATCGACCAGAATGAATTGCTAGCACACCCGCCTTACGAGAAACAAGAAACCCTCAAGGGCGTCAGGCTGGAAAAAAAAGGACACCAGAGGGTAACTCACTCCACACAAAAAATAAAACCACTGGGAAAGGTAATCACATAGGTAAGTATAATTAACAGTATAAATGATTTTTTAAATTATTTTCTTAACCAATTATAAAGAAAATCAGATAAACCATAACATATAAAGATGTACTCTGACAACAACAGCAGCACAAAAAAGGAAGAGAGGGAGCTCAATAAGAACAAACTTCGTGTGAGAATTCAATAGCAGTAATCTGAAGAAGATAGTTTTGAAAGGAGATACAGAGTGGAATCCCCAAACTGGCAGGAAGACACCCAGCACGGGTGCAGTGCAGGTTCAAAACAAGCCTGGACACAGATTAAATTAATTACTCCATTTTCACACTCCAACACTTTTAAAATACCCGAAATCTGGTATTAATGTAAGCTACATAGTCAAGGAAGACAGAACATAAATATTAAACTCCTGACAGAGGATAAATAAGCCCTGCATGTTGTATTTTTTTACTAGTCCTCAGAAAAATTAGGGTACATAATGTTGAATCAGTATTTCCTTTACGTAATCAAATGCTCAGTGGTCGCCCAAAGTGGCCACTTTACTCTCTGCATTAAAAAAGAGCTTCTTAAAAAAATAAAAATAAAAAAGAGATTCTTGTGTAATAAATAATACTGTATTCCTAAGATTTTAAAAATCTCTAATTTTCATTAAATGCTTTAAAATTTACCCAATTATAAAGTATACAATAGCTCTATATGCACACGGTGCTTTCAAGTCATAAAAAAAAAAAATCTTTCTGAACATACTGTACTCCTAATCGTTTTAGAATAAAATTAAGGAAGTAACACAACCTGAAATTTTTCTAATTGCATACAAAGCCTGCAGTAACTACTAATTCACCTGATACTTTTGTTAGCCTGATTGACACGGTTACAATTCTGTCGTCTCTTGAACCTCTGGCTTCTTCGGAGTTTCTCATTGAATTTTTGGCCAATTTTAAAATCAGAGGAGATTTTCTTCATTTTTTCTTCAAATAAGGCAGACAATCTCAAGGTCATACTGTAAATCTGCAAGGATATGAAAACAAAAGCAGAGTTACAACATATCTTTTAAAACACTTCACATACACACAAAAAATGTATAAAGTAGGCTACTTGTAATCTGTTCCATCAGTGTTATAGACACTAGCTGTTACAGATTTTATCCATTGCCCCAACCTTCCTTCAGCAACATCTGCAAGAACAGGCAGCAACATATACCTCTCAGGCAAAAAGAAAGCAGTTTTAAATCAAGCATTCTCTGGAGGCTAAGACTTACATATACATGTAAATGTTCTCATTTGGCTTTTCCCATTTTCACATTTACATGTACAAATCCAAAAGAATATTCCCTTCTCCTAAAGTTGGATGTGAAGTTGGCTGGTTTTAGGATTGCCATCTAGGCAGCAAAGACCATGTCTTGTTGGGGCGCAGAAACAAAAGGTGCTTTCGCCTTTGTCTCCAACTTACAGTTTGTAATGCCACCTGGATTTTTTTTTTTTTTTTTTTAATTCATGACAGACACACAGAGAGGGAGACAGAGAGGCAGAGACACAGGCAGAGGGAGAGGCAGGCTCCATGCAGGGAGCCCGATGTGGGACTTGATCCCAGGTGTCCAGGATCTGGCCCTGGGCTGAAAGGCGGCACCAAACCGTTGAGCCACCCAGGCTGCCCACCACCTGGATCTATACATGACTTACACACCAAAAGCTATCTTCATCCAGAGGAAGAAAATAGACCCTAGAACTTTAACAGATGTAAGATTGTGTTTTAACAGTTTTTATAATTAAATAGTGACAAAGCTTTCAGAGAATTCAGCAATGTGATGTTAAATGCTCCTGTAAATAACTTTGGTACAGCTACGTATTTACAAGAAGTACTCTCAACTCATTCACAATCATTCTTGGAAAGTAAGTGAAAAGTTTAATGTTCAAAGCTATATATATCAATCACTCTGATGCACAGGGCAGAAGGGTAGAGAGACTAACACTAGAGAATCTCTAGGGGAAAAAAAGCATGTAGGATACACAAATTTCCTGTATGCTTTGTAATTATATATGTACATACATACATACATATGTACAATATATGTGAAATTCAAAATCCCACTTCATCTTTGAAGTGATCTGACACTTATTTCCAGTATTTTGTATTTACCTTAAATTATTTTCCTTCAAATCTGAATTCTAGTTTAAGTCACCAATTTTAACAAGTAATTTTTTTTCTTAATCATATTAAGTTTGAAACCTCTGATTCTCTTAAGAATCACAACTTTCATATCTGTCTTCTCACTGGGTTTATGTAAAATCCAGTAATACATCTGAATTGAACATAAACAATTAACAAAAACGGGGGCTAAAACTAATAGCTCCTTAAAATGAAAAAAGGGCATGTATGAAAATAACCCACAATTAACATCATACGCAATGGTGAAAGACTGAAAATCATTTCCCCTGAGATCAGGAATGAGACAAGATTGCCTGGTTTCACCACTATACTCTAAATTCTAGCTGGAACAATTTAACAAAATGAGAAACTAAAATCATTCCGACTGTAAGGCTGTAAGTTAAACTATCACTATTCACAGATGATGACAGGATCCATATTCATGGCAGCATCACTCCTAATAGCCAAAAATCAGAAACAATTCAACTGTCTGCCAGGAGATGAACAGATAAACAAAATGTCATATACCCACACAATGGAATATCATTCAGGCATAAAAAGGAATAAAATTCTCATGTATATAACAACATGGATGAACCTTTCAGACATTCTGTTGAGTAAAAGAAGCGAGACACAAAAGGACAAATGTTGTGACTCCACTTACATGAAATATCTAGAATAGACAGACATATACTCAGACTAAGGAGAGGAGACACTGCCAAGGGCTGAGGGGAGTGAGAGAGTGTGGAGTCACTGCTTAATGGTTATTGTTTCTGCCTGGGGTGACAAAAGAGTTTTGGCAACAGCAGCGATGGTTGAATAACACTGTGAATATAATTAACGCCAATCAATTGTACCCTTAAAAGTAGTTAAAATAATAAAGTTTATGTTACGTATGTTTAACCAAGACTTTGAAATTCTGATAATACACAAAACTCCAATAAATTAATTGGGTGAGTTGTAAATATCCTCAAATATGTATTTTAAATAAAGGGGAAAAAGGTATGATTGAGATTTATTTTCTCTCTGGAAATAAAGGGTCTCACTAATGATGAATACTGACAGTAACACAAGTTTAGAAAAATGTCAGACTTGGGATGCCTGGGTGGCTCAGCAGTTAAGCACCTGCCTCCAGCTCAGGGCATGATCCTGGAGTCCCAGGATTGAGTCCCATATCAGGCTCCCAGTATGGAGCCTGCTTCTCCCTCTGCCTATGTCTCTGCCTCTTCGTTGTTTCTCTCATGAATAAATATATAAAATCAAAAAAAAAAAAAAAAGTCAGACCTGATGTTAAACTGATGTTTAAATAGATGTTAATTTTGCATACTGAATGCAAAGAGTTCTCAAAGTAAGAATAACACAGGAGTGTCTGATAATAAATAATAAAGAGTGAAATTAAGGCAAAATGGTTAATAAACAGTGATAATCAATAATCATAGACAAGGTACTATAATACTAAGCGTTTTACTTTAAATCTTCTCAAATCATTGATTTTTTTTTTAATTACCCAACACCCACTGACTACAAGGATTTGTGGTATTTGTGAAAATGTACACTTTCGTATACTTATTATGCTTCAACAAGTTCTGAAAAGTTATCTAATGTGTTAACATTTTAACAATACTTCAGGGATGTACTTTCTACTAGTGTTCTCAAAAAATCAGGGATCCCTGGGTGGCGCAGCGGTTTAGCGCCTGCCTTTGGCCCAGGGCGCGATCCTGGAGACCCGGGATCGAATCCCACGTCGGGCTCCCGGGCGCATGGAGCCTGCTTCTCCCTCTGCCTGTGTCTCTGCCTCTCTCTCTGTGTGTGTGACTATCCTAAAAAATTTTTAAAAATTAAAAAAAAAAAAGACAGCTCCTGTGTTTCCTCTTTGGATCCGAAATAGCAGTATGGAGTATGGTGTCAGTAGTCCTACTCCCACTTCAGATCTTGCTTTCCTCACTTTTAATATTCTTCCAGCCTCTATCAGTAAATTTCTAATCCACTTTTCAAGATTTCTACATCTATGTATCAAGTTCACTGGCTGCCTCAGTCCCAACAATTCCCATTTGTTGCCTTCAGGAAAGGAAAACATTAATTGCTGTATGGTACCAAACAGCAGACATTTGGGCAGTGGCAGAGTGCTCTTCTTACCAGTGGTTTTGCTCTCCTCACCTGTCTGCAATGTTCCAACATTTATCAGCAAGTGCAAAATGATCATCAACATAGACTATGCACACTTTTCTTTAACAACTTTTAAAATTACCTTTGATCTTTTGTTTGGTGTATATGCTTTTGCATTGCTAAATATCAACCGGATGTCTTTGCAAAATTCCAAAGGGCTGTCATAATTTCCTGCTTCTAAAGTTTCCCTTACTGTTCCAAAATCCATTGGAGTATCTATAATATCTCGGTAGTCCTAGGTTTTAAAAACAATAATTAGTACAAAGATACAATTGCAACTTTTAGAAACGTAAGTGCATCAGTTCTCTAAAATATTCAAAATGAGAGGAGAAAAGGGTTAGAAGACCTGAAGACTCATCAATAATTTTTAAAAAGAGACCCAGACATAAAAACATAATATACCAAAATGATATACTTCATGGGATATGGAATGGTTTTTATTTCCTTCTTTACACTCTTTATGTAATTTCCAAACTTTCTACAGTAAATTTGTGCTTTATAATCTTTTTTTAAGGTAATTTTCCATTCCCATATTAGAAGGATGAATACAGATACTTTTATCCAATTTACAGTTTTACATAATAGATAACCTGTAGGATCCTGCCACTATGATGTAGCAGTGATTAAGTCTCAGCCCAAGTTACAGGAGTGTCTGTAAGTTCAAGAAAATGTATATGCAATACAACTCTTCCACTTAGTGGTAAGAGACAAAGTCAACATGAAGCTAAGACATCTTACTCATTAAAGCTTACTTTAAATACTTCCACCCCAATCTCTACACAAAATAAGAAAAGGCCCAAGCATTCAAACAATGGCAACTTACTGGATATTCAACCAAATCAACAGGTTGTCTAAATGGTTCAGAATCTTCACACTGAAAAATTAAGTTCACTAGTTCCTTACACTGTTTCTTCCAGTTACTTTCAACATAGTTGGTTGCTTTGATGCTCCTTTTTTTCCAATCGCGGACCTAAAAACACATTTACAATATTAAGTTTTTTCATTCTTGGAAATTTAACACTGTGGTATGGCGTATTACAGTGGTAAAAATGCAAGTGAGTTCTTGTCTTCTGTACTATAACAATGTGGCTACTCTTATTTTCTACCTACTTGGAAGGAACCCACTTTTCTATAAAAACCCAATAGCACCACTTCCATTACTCTGGAAATATTGTTGACCCCATCACTTAATATTCAAGTGTAGAGAATGTTCACAACATATGAAGTATCACCTGGAATAATTTGGTAAGCTAAATAATGGCCCCAAAGATACATGCATCCCAATCCAAGAACTCATGACTGTCACTTCACATGGCAGACTTGACTAAAGGCATGAATCTTGACAGGGGAAGACTGTTCTGGATTATCAGGATGGGCCCAATTTAATCACAAAGGTCCTTTTAAGAGTGAGGAAGAAGGGGGGGCACCTGGGTGGCTCAGTCAATTAAGCGTCCCAGCTCTTGATTTTAGCTCAGTTAGTGATCTCAGGGTTGTGAGATTGAGCCCTGTATGTGGAGTCTGTTTGGGATTCTCTCTCTCCCTTTATCCCTCCCACTCGTGATCATGCTCTCTCTCTAAAATAAATAAATAAACCTTAAGAAAAAAAAAAAAAGAATGAGGCAGAAGAGTCAGCAGCAGAGAGTTCAAGCTGCTGGCCTGAAGAGAGAAGAGGGGACATGAGACAATCGGATGACAATAATTCAAGTCTAACTTTTCAATGTTATTTGGGGCAAGCATATTTGGAAAATTAACATATTAAGCTTAAATTTAAGCAGCATTTGGATGTTTAAAATGTAAAGCATTTCTTTTTTGAGAGAGCATGTGCATGCATATAGATCAGGGGTGGGATTTGCTTCAACGTGGATGGAACTGGAGGGTATTATGCTGAGTGAAGTAAGTCAATCGGAGAAGGACAAACAGTGTATGTTCTCACTCATTTGGGGAATATGAATAATAGTGAAGGGGAATATAAGGGAAGGGAGAAGAAATGTGTGGGAGATATCAGAAAGGGACACAGAACATAAAGACTTCTAACTCTGGGAAATGAACCAGGGGTGGTGGAAGGGGAGGAGGGCGGGGGGTGGGGGTGAATGGGTGACGGGCACGGAGGGGGACACTTGACGGGATGAGCACTGGGTGTTTTTCTGTATGTTGGTAAATTGAACACCAATAAAAATTAATTTATAAAAAATAAAAAGAAAAAAAAAAGAAAAAAAAAACTAAAAAAAAAAAAAAAAAAGATCAGGGGTGGGGAGTGTAGAGAGAGAATCTTTAAGCAGGATCTGCAGCTCAGGGCAGAGCCTGCCACAGAGCTCGATCTCAAGACCTGGGCCGAAATCAAGAGTCGGATGCTTAACCGACTGAGCCACTCAGGCACCCCAAAATGTTAAGCATCAACAATCTTTACTTTTATTATTAGAACTTAAAAGACCTGCTGGTGATAAAATTCTAACCACATATTCAAAACTTAATATATCCGTACACTGTTCTCTTTAACTCCATCCTTTTAACAAGTCATTTTTTAAAAAGGTTTAATCATCAAATCCTACAAAGTTCCCCTTATAACGGCTTATCCTCTCCTTGCCTCTCCATTCCATACAAGCACTGTCCTTGACCAGGCTCCCACATCCTATACTCCTACTTCTTGCAACAGACTCCTAAATCACTTCCTTTAATACTGATCCTGTTAACTTCCAAAATCTATTCAACTATTTTGGTTGTACAAAAATAAAATCCTTGGTTTTCAATACCATCATCATCTGCTCCCAAAGTAACAAACAGCCAGATGCTGCTACTCTGCTCACTCCCACACTCCGCCCCTAAACCAGCCAGGCCAATGCTCTATCACTAGTGTGGGGACATGCCACACATGCCTACTTTCTGACCTGGGTCCTAATAGCTCCTTACTTTCTGAATGTCCCCTTCCTACTCAGCTCCCTGTGAGAACTCAGTTCAAGTCCCAATTCTTCCAATAAACCTTCCCTAACTACCCACCCACCTTTTAGTGATTTGTCATTTCTCTCATAAAACACTCAATACCCAATTCTAATATAACTTTTCAGAGAAACATCTAAGATCTTAGGTTGCTTTTATTTTTTTTTAAAGACTTTATTTATTCATTATACCACATGTGGGCGGGGGAGGGACAAGCAGACTCCTTACTGAGAGCGAAGCCTGACGTAGGGGGCTCAACACAGGGCTCAACCTTACAACCCTGAGGAGATGACCTGAGCCAAAATCAAGAATCATACACTTAACCAAATGCACCACCCAGGACCCCCTTTAGGCTGCTTTCAAAACACAGAATAAGTAAAAGACAAAGGTTAATCAGGTAGATTAACTTACTCTCCTTCTTCCCGAAGATGTTTTAGGAAGATCACTATCATCCTAGAATAAAAATCAGAGCAGCTTAAGTGTTAACATTCTCATTAGAAATATAATAATCTAAATGCATATCAAAGACATTAGGTCTTACCAGGGTTTTTAACTTATTTTACAAAAATCTCAAAAGGCAGACCAGACCCTATCAAATGATTTTTGTGGAACCCAGCCTCCAACAAACCAACCATTCTTAATAACCTTTTGCATTCCTTAAGAACATGGATTAATTCCAAAAGATAGTGATAAAAAAATGCTTTGTACATGACTTAAATATAGTACATGCATAAGCAACTTTAAATTTGTGTTTTACTTCCATCCATAAAACCCTAGAAACCATCTCCTACATGTCCTCAATTTCCTACTCTATACATTTTCCTATTCCCTAAATCAAATATTTGTGTACCCATTTTTATTCCAATATAAAGTAGCTTGAAAATCAGTGAATTACAGTTAGGGGTCTTGTAGAAATTGATATTACACTGATAATGGTTAGTGTTTTTAAAGAGTATCCTTCCTAAAACTCCTGCAACTTAGTGCCTGATTCTGTATGAAGTGAAATTATTTATACCATTGATATTTGCCTTAAACTTCAAAATAATCTTGAGTGAAGAACTTGTAGGTACTGGGAACATGGTAAAGCTCATTAATTTTTAATTACAGTTGGGGCACCTGGGTGGCTCAGTGGTTGAGCATCTGCCTTCAGCTCAGGGTGTGATCCCAGGTCTGGGGACCGAGTCCCACATTGGGGTCCCCATATGGAGCCTGCTTCTCCCTCTGCCAGAGTGTCTCTGCCTCTCTCTCTCTCTGCCTCTCTCATGAGTAAATAAAATCTTTAAAAAAAATTTTTTTTAATTACAATTAAATCCAACTCTCAGATATTGGTTTTTGCAAAAGTAGAGAACATTCTGCAGCTATGTTATTTGCAAAGACGTATTTTATTTGGTATCAATTATTGGTTAAAACAAATTACCTCACTGAATGTCTAGACAATTAAGAAATATATTTTTATCAAAATAGTTTTCATAGTTCACTGGAATATAGCGAGAATTGGTATTTTCTACTTCACTCAATATTTTTAAGTTACTATTTAAAATTAACAAAAATCTTTATAAAATTGGCAAACTTCATACCAAATCCTCGGCATTTTGCTCATCATTTTCAGAAGTGTTGGAAAGTTCTGAGATATTTGTACAGTCTTGATTCCTAAAAAACAATTTTTCATATTTTTAGAGTATGCAGATGTAGTTACTGCTGTAAAAAATTCAAACTGCAAGTTAAGATATAGATGGTTCTCCAAGTAGAGGAATACCAGGGTTTTTTAATCTACCCTCTGTGGAAACAACTGACCATCTTAGAATACTGAAAGCAAGTCCTCTCCCCCCCCCCAACTAAGTATGTATAAAACTAAGCTGGTAATCCAGAAATAATACATGCTCAATTGGGTGAACTCGGGGATGAGTTTTCCTACACATAACTAGTCATAGTCATACAGTGAGTACCAAGAACATATGGCTGATGGAGATAAAATAGAGGGGAAAAGTACAAATTAAAGCAAATTATATCTTCACTGCACCCAAAAAAGAAAGAATGCTAATTTAGGAATCTCTAGGCATAAGAAAGATCAAAATGGGTGTGTGATTTTTCTGAAGTGGAAAAATGAAAATTGTGGGCCAGGAGCAGATTCAACCCAGTTGAAAAACTTGGAACCAGTTACTTCCCAGTGTGCGGCCTGATGGTGAAAATGATGGCACAGTTTATAAACCACCTTCTCCAATACACAATTCTTTCCAACAATTTGTGTGACTATGGTAGAAGGGCATTAGGATCATACAGCAACGTTGGAAAACAAACAGAAAAAAGGATCATGCAGCAAAATACTAAATTTAAAGGAAACAGGCTGAGTAAGTTGTCCAAAGTGACAAAGAATGTTCAATCAAACAAATGAGGTTAAAACTCAAGTCTCATTTTCCAAGTCAGTTTCCATTCTACTCCTGCAAACTGATCTCCCAGTGCAAGAAGCATATGCTGAGTCACCCTTATACAACCACTCTCATGGGATACAATCCCAAAGAGACAAAAACCAATCTAGTCATGACAAAACCTCACACAAACCCAAACTCAATATTCTCCACAAAATAAGTGGTGAGAAATAATGATGAAGTCAGGAGCGAAGGGAAAGGCTAGATAACAGATAAAAGGACACACAGACACCAGATGAGTGAAAGCAGCAAGGGTCTGGACTAGGTCCTGAGATACAGCAGGGATGCTGCCATAAGAACTGAGGAAATCCACTGCAGCCATTAGTATGACACCAAGAATAATTTCTTAACATTTCATGAGGATACCACAGGTATGAAAAAAGTTAACCTAAGGGGAAACCGGTGAAGGGTATATACAGGGCAACTTTCTGTAGTATAAAATTAGTTCAAAGTTTTAAAAAAAACTGGATTCTTGATTTCTCATGCCTTTACTGAAATTATGATTACAATACGTGTGTAAAGAAATGCCACTTAATGCAGCATGTTAAAAGTTAAAAATTCAGAGAGCAAAAATTAAAAAATGGTTGGCTGCAAGAGGTGCAATATGCAAAGTCACTTTTCCACCATATCTGTAACAGGAGGTAACTTACTTTATAAATTTTAAAAGTTGGTCAGTTATCTTCTTAGCTGATCTTGCAATTACACTCTCAGGTTCATTAAATGTCCTGGCATTATGTTCTATATATCTGACTTCCCAAACTAATGCAGATAGCCTCCTTCAAAATAAAAAGTAGGCATTTTACACGTTAGAAAATGAAAAGACAAATCAAATTTTAAAAATTAAGCCAGCATATATTAATATATTAAATCATAAGCCATCAAGCTAAACCACCTTCTAATGCTGTCAACCTGTCACAGTCATAAGCAATCACGTCAGAAGCTAAACCACAGAGAATGTATTTAAAGACCAAAAATCTTAACAGTTCATTCTATCATAACATCCAGAAAACTAACAAAGTAACCCACCCTTTTACCTTCTCTAGAGATACTACTGAAGCTACTGAGACGCATTTAAGAACATGTGTTAAATACCATTAATCCTGAGAGAGTAACCAGGCAAAGTGATTTCTGAACAAATGCACATTCCCAGGTTTGGCTATGGAGACAAATTACACCAACTGTATAAGAAGCCAGTTTTTTGTACTGGTAATTTCTTGAAATAGATGAATTATAAAAAATAAAATACCATCAATTACTTAAAAAAAAAATCACTGAGAATAGGAAATTTTATAATTACCAGTTCTCCAGAAGCCAAAGATAAAAAGCTGATGACTCTGGGGAATTTATCTTTCAAAGGCCAATGTTTAACCAATTATATCTTTAAATCAAGCTAAGTAAGAATGTTAACACGCAAATAAAAACAAATATGATATCTAACTACTTAACATATTCATTTAAAAAAAAACAGAATACTAAAGATTGAGGAATGAAACATGGCATTTTTTTTATTTGCTTTCTCTTCAACATCTAAGTGTCTTATATATATATATATAAGACCACAAATTACCATAATGAAAGAGAATGAAACCGAAAATAATGCTCATCAGCCCCCCTACTTCACCCCTGTCACCATCAACCACCACCTCCATTTACTCTGGTCAGGACGATCAAATACCTTTTCAAACTATTTTTAAAGGAGGTTTCTACTGACCTGTAAAATCGATTAACGAGTCTCATTCGGATTGTGTAAAGATCAGTTGGATAAGCTACTACAGTACAGTACTTCGGATATGTACACAGATCAACTGGACCTGCAAAAGCTGCTGCTATGTCTGTGGAGGGAGAAAAAAGAATTTTTGATCAATAAATTCATTACCTTTAAGAGATTATTTCTCTACAAATGATTCAAAAATAAAGCTACAATTAACACTGCAAGCCCACCCAAAAGGTAGCAAATAAAAATTGTAGTGAAGAACACAACCCCAAGTTTGCCACTATTTTAAAATACTTATGTGGAGTGGAAAGCTTAAACATGAAAATTCACACTCAAAAACTTACCAAGATTCAAAAGTTGATCTATGCCACTAATAATTCGTTCACACTCTTCATCTCTCGATTTCTGACCCCATTCACCATCTTGTGGTTTGTAGAGCAATTTCTCTAGCTCATCTGAAGTGACAGAAATACTAGCTCCTAATTCTTCAGGTGGATCAACTATGAATTCCATTAAAAAGAAAAATTATCAAACAAATATACCATATTTAAGTTGTCGAAACTCATTTAAAAAACACTACAAAGGAAAAAGTAGCTCTTTTACAGTGGAGAAACCTGCAGACACCACCTAAATCACAGAATGAAAGTTAATGTCTTCAGGAATAGAACATATGGATATCATGTGTCTCCTGACAGGAAGCACGGAGGACCACATATACATATCACTTCTCTAACACTAGTGCCAAAAATGCAAACCCTGGATATGGATGAAATTACAAGTCAAGCCCAAACTGAGAGAAATTCTACAAAATAGCCAGGATTACATGGGAAACGACAGTGGGCTACTAAGATGCAGTCAGCATCAAGCTGGAAGCCTACGATAATAATTAATGAGCCAGATACCCATTAATTCTTTTTTGAGAGACGCCTAGGTGGCTCAGCAGTTGAGCAACGAACGGCCTTTGGCTCGAGGTGTGATCCTGGAGTTCCAGGATCGAGTCCCACATCAGGTGCCCTGCGGGGAGCCTGTTTCGCCCTTTGCTAATGTCCTCTGCCTTCTGTCTCTCATGAGTAAATAAAAATCTTAAAAAAAAAAAAAAAAGTCTTTTTTGAGTTTTAGTAAAGCTCACAGTTACCATAATAATTCGAAAACATTTCTCAAACAGAAAACATAGGTAAAATATTTAAAAATTATATACCATTATCAGGAATAGGTTCCATGTCCCATGGGCTAAGTTTTTCAATTTCAGTATTGTCCCACCTGTTAAAAAACAAAGTCTAGTTAGCTCTCATAAAAACGACTTGTGGCAAACAAACAAACAAACAAAAAAAACACGACTTGTGGCTAACAACTAGCTAGCCAACTACAAGAGTAAAGAAAAATAAAATGTGAAAATTTTATTGTAGCAATCAAAGTTTAAATATTACTAATAAGATTTTTAGGAAAATATATTAAACCAGAAATCCTCTGTGGCTTATAGCCAGGGTAGGCATTTTAAAAAAAAAAAACAAAAACAGGGATCCCTGGGTGGCGCAGCGGTTTGGCGCCTGCCTTTGGCCCAGGGCGCGATCCTGGAGACCCGGGATCGAATCCCACGTCGGGCTCCCGGTGCATGGAGCCTGCTTCTCCCTCTGCCTGTGTCTCTGCCTCTCTCTCTCTCTCTCTCTGTGACTATCATAAATAAAAAAATAAAAAATAAATAAATAAAAAACAAAAGCAAAAAAACAACTCAAAGACACAGTAGAGTTTTGAATACCAGTTTAGAATGTGACTTTATTCCACAGCCAATAGAAAAGCAGCAAAACCTTCTATAAACAAAGGAAATGATACAATGTGTGCTCTTGAACAAGGATCCTGCAGTATTACACTGCTATATTGGGTGGGTACAGAAATGGTCCCGGTACCAGTAAATAGGAAGCAGCAGAGACATACTAGAGACACTGTAAGGGGGGAGACTGACAGGACTCAATAACAGACTAAATCATGGTCCTTAACCATGGTCATAAAACCACCCACCACAATGAGTCAATGTTTGTAGAGGCTTCATTTTCAACTGCATACAGACCTAACGATGTAGCACTGGAAATGACTATCCGGGTACTGTGGCTGATATGGCTCTTGACTCAGCACCGTCCCAAACCACCAGGCATCATCAATGATAGAACGAAACCTGTCACCTGTAAGAGATGACCAAGACTGAGACACCAATTTGCCAAAATTAACACTTTAAATTTATAAAATACCACTGATTTGGATAAAAGAGAAATTACTTCTTTATCTTAAAATTAGCCACCATTCCCCACTTTCCAGCAATCTTCAGGGATGAGATAAATGTATAAAGATACAATGTCACACTGAGCAATTTCCTGAAGGCATATAACCATATAGTGTAACAGACTAAAATGGTTATGACTAGATGACCTTGTCTGGTGGATCCAAACACCCACTCCAAAATAAGTTCTATTACATTATACGACATGAAAGAAAAAAGTTTAACAAAACTCAAAAACCTTTTATAACTATATGTACTGTCAATAGTTTAATATTTAATAAGTATATTAAATACATACAGCTCTGCAATGTTTCCTGAATAAAACAAATTATAAAAATATTATTAAAAATATGATTAGAATTTAATCCGTGATTATTCTAAAGTTGTTCCTATATAAGTATTGTCACATCTTAGGACTTCACATTAAAAATCAGTTCAAGAGGTATCCTTCAAACTGCTTACATGTTATTTAAAACCATTAGGGGCACCCAGGTGACTCAGTTGGTTAGGCATCTGATTCTTGGTTTTGGCTTAGGTCATTAATCTCAGGGTTGTGAGATCAAGTCCCACATCGAACATGGAGCCAGCTTAGGACTCCATCCCTCCCCCCAGCCCCCGGTTCTCTCCCTCTGCCTCTCCCACCTCCCAAAAAAAAAAAAAAAAGGAAACATCTGCATAGCTCTTTATCTCAGCAGGGTATATAAAGTGGGGAAGTAGATCTTAGGAGGGCTCCTCAACAAACCAAAATAACTGTAAGGAGTACTCCAACTAACTTCAGTCATTTTCTGAATGTATTTTAACAATAAGAACTCTTCTAGAGGAATAGAGTATATGTGGGGTCCATTACAGAAAAGAAACACAGACTGCTGTAATAAGCCCATGTTTTCCTTCCCATCCATTCCACCATTCTCAAAACAAAATCACTAACAAAAAAAGTCCCTTATCCAGACTTAGTAATTTCTTGGTAGATTTGCAATTCTTCTTTCAAGGAAAAGTTTTACAGAAATGTTACCAATCAAAATTAAAGCTACATCTCACCTCCAAGAAAGAGAATATTTATGCCATAAAATACCCACAAATAGTAATAACTAAAAGTATGCTTATACTGAATTCTGTAAAACTGGGGGGGGGGGGGAACAACCCCAGGAGTATCATAACTCCTGGAGCTACATGTTTTGAGGTTCTTAATATATTTTCAAATTCATGGAAACATGACTTTTATGTATATTTCATATTTTCCAAAATCACCAGAAACCCATAAGCCCCCTAATCCCTCTCTCTAAATAAATTTCCACTTTTGATAGTATTTCATTAATATAAATATTCTAAAACAGAACTTCAACTTCAGAAAAAAAATCCTATCAAAGTTCTAACTTTTTAAATGAAAGGCATATATTAAAAATCTGATGTAACACTCTGGTTTTTGTCTCATTATATAAGTAAAAAACCTAATTTAACATAAAAAAGCCAGTCTTTGATACCAAGAATTTACTTTATAATACTTTTCTTCCTTATTTACCTAAAACTAGAAGATGCTTTTAGTTTATATAAAAACATTTCTTCAGTGTTAACACTTTTAATTAAAAGGAACCTTAAAGAAATCACTTTTCTGGGGGTACGTGGCTGGCTCAGTCAGAGGAGCACACAACTCTTGATCTCAGGGTCGTGAATTAGAGTCCGATGTTTGGTACAGAGATTACTTAAATAAAATTTTTAAAAAAGAAAACACTTTGGAACGCCTGGGTGGCTCAGTGGTCAAGCATCTGCCTTTGGCTCAGGTCATGATCCTGGGATTCAGGGATTCAGTCCCACACTGGACTCCCTGTGAGGAGTCTGCTTCTCCCTCTGCCTGTGTCTCTGCCTCTCTGTCTCTCTCTCATGAATAAATAAAAATCTTAAAAAAAAAAACAAACAACCTTTTCAGAAGGTAAAACCCGACTTTTAAGAATTTAAAAAAAAAAAAAACAAAAAAACCTGTTTTTGCCCATATAACAGTAGGATAAACTAAGAGTAGGACAGAACTTTAATAAAGTTTTCAACATACAAAAATCAGAATCAAGCAACTTCTTTTAATAACACTGCTCAAACCTCAAGAAAATAGGTAAGATTTTAGAGGGGAACAAAACTGAATCAGAAGATCTGGTACATTAATTTCTCAACCACAAAAATAAAACAAAACCACTAAATTACAAGAGTCAAGTGGGAATCCACCTCTAGAGCTGAGCTATAAAGAACTGAGTTTAAAACAATTTTTGGATGTACATGTTGGTAGAACAAAAAGAGAGCTTCCAACTCATACATCATGGGGCTGGATAAAAAAAGATGGGAAACTTTATTTTTTAAGATTTTATTTATTTGACAAAGAGAGAAATCATGGGCAGGAGAGAGAGAAGCAGGCTCCCTGCTGAGCAGGGATCTAGATGTGAAGCTTGATCTCAGGATCCCAGGCATAAAGATGGGAAACCTGAATGTTCTTCAGAATCTGGCTATAGGACCTGTTAACTCCCACCATTCCGGATGCCTTGAGTTTGGTTTCTATTGTTTCTGTTTCTGGCTAGATGTTTTTCTTCAAGAAAAATTTCCTTTACCTCTAGTCCCAAAATAATCCTGACTACTTGAGTGGACATTAACCGCTAAAAATAGTCCACTAAGAGTAGCCACTCTCTCTGACCATCTTCTGTTTCAAATAGGGATGGCTCAGGTAATTCTATCTAAAATTTATCTATTTGTAGTACATGTAGAAAAAGGCAGCAAAAACTAGGAAAATTAATGAGGTCCTAACATTATTTACAATGTATTCATCAGATATAAAACTTAGTATCTCTAATAAGAGGCCAAAACTGATAAAAGGAGAATGAGCTATCCTCAGTGATTCAAGTCAAACTCAACACATGAGCCCCCCAGATAGCATTCCATACTGAAAGTAATAAATGTATACCTGTGAAAGGGGTTCTACGGTTGCTGACTAGTATTACCTAGCCTGGTTACAGTCATCAATTTTGTCCTGTGGAGATTACTGACCTATGCAAGTCTAATAAGCAAGGGAGCCCACCAAGCCACCCTAAATGGTCACCACAAAAAACACATTCAGCTAGCACATATGTTGAGGTCATTTTATTTTTTTCTGTCCAGTCAGATGTCTCAGAGTTATAAAGTAGAAATGTACTATGAATTTCTTTTATTTTTTAGAAGAATGGTTTCCTCAAGTCCATGTATTTAAGTCTGGGTTGATACGACACTAAAGTGAAATATTCTGGTATACCAGAATATTATCAGTGTGAAATCTGCATTATTTTTCAACTTTCTGATTGTCTTATATCATTAGAATAATTTTGTGAATTATAGTAGTCACATTAAAGATAGAAAAAAAATGCAGTACAGGAAGTCTGACAGGAAATAAGAAGTCAACTCTAGCATATAGTCAATGAGTAAGAATCCCTTCAAAACGTCAGCTACTATAAGAACACAGGAAATACTGCTTGGCTAAAGAGGTTATTAAGGAGAAACCAGGCCTTAAACAAAATACACTTTTTGGTCACTTACGTTTCTTTCTAGAATTTGCATGTTTGCATCTACCATAATAAGCAGCACCATAATCAGAAAAATAGACCAATATGAGAGATAAGATTTTCTAAGGGCATATAAAACTCAGGAAGGATGGACTTACAAGACTGCCAATTCCTCTGTCTTGCTTCATCATAAAATTGACGCAATACAAGAAAGTCAATAACATCTGGCATATCATGATATCTAAAAAGAAATAAAAGATTGTTAAAATACCCTGAGTAGCAGGTTATAGTCTAGAGCAGCAATGTTCAAAGAAACAGCTGCATTTGTAATCCTCATTTTTCAACCAGCCATACTTAAAAAAATGGAAAAAGAAACTAGTAAAATTAATTTTAAGAGTGTATTTCATTTAGCCTTTTGTACCCTAAACACTGTTTCACCATGTTATCAATACAAAATAATAATGAGATATTTTACACATTTTTTTTTCTTCATACCAAGGCTTCCAAACTTAGTGTTACATTTAACAGCACATTTAACTGAAATCCACCACATTTTCAAGCACTCAAGAGCCACATGTGACTAAGGGCTACCATAATACACAACACGGGTTTAACAAGTTATTCATTTTCATATTTTCTCAAAAACAGGTTCTCCACACATGTAAGTGGCACAGAGGAAGGTATAAAATAGGCCAATGCTTAATTGTTGCTACAACACATGATTTTTACTTCTAGTGGGCTCCCATCTACCAGAACCTCAACTCACACTGCATGCTGTCCACAATGCTCTACTATGGACGCTGCAGCTATGAAAAAGTCATGCTCACCAGCAAGAGGAAAAATTTAAATTTAAATAATTCCACAAAAAAATAGTAACACATACCTAATAGAGAACGATTTGTCCATTAGTCTTCCAGTCGCAGGATCTATAAATGCTAGTTTGAGGCAACAGAGTGTAGGGGGCCCAACCTCATATCGTATTCCAACTATTTTGACCAATTCTTGATCCTTCAACGATATTTTAAAAGAATATGTGTTTAAAATGGTCAGAGTAGAGCAATTCCTCAAAATTATAATTCTCTATATTGCTACATTTAAGTCAACTCAAAATTTAGGCTTCCAATTTGACATTAATTACAATCACTTTTGTTAACATTAATCTTCACGTCTTTTTTAGGACAGTCATTTAATACTGCTTCTAACGTACGGAATATACTCACTTTAGAAAATACACCACAAGTGTTAAGAAGGAACATATAAGTCATCGACCAGCTCAAATCTAAAGACAATTATGTGAATAAACCGAATTTCTTCCTGGCTCTGTGCTCTTCCTAGAGAAACACAATCCTGTATTGCATGTTTCTGTGTAAAGACATCTCATCTAATATACTGATTGATTAGTGCTCTGAACTCCCAGCCAAAAGCAGTGTAACTCATGCCTAAACAAGGTTTATCTAAGGCACATAGTTTCTCCGTAAAGCATATCATCACCTTGTGCTGAGAAGTACAACAGAGGACTTTGAGCACTAAACTTGACAGCTATTTTTTTTTTAAATTTATTTATGATAGTCACACAGAGAGAGAGAAAGAGAGGCAGAGACATAGGCAGAGGGAGAAGCAGGCTCCATGCACCGGGAGCCCGACGTGGGATTCGATCCCGGGTCTCCAGGATCACACCCTGGGCCCAAGGCAGGCGCTAAACCGCTGTGCCACCCAGGGATCCCCATTGACAGCTATTTTTAAACAGCAAGTCACCAACAAAAAAAAAGTAGAGATGTGAAAATTCTTTATTGTTGCAATCAGCAGTTGGCAAAAAGGACCCTCGGTTATGAGATCCTCAAGGACTCAAACAAGAAGGCATCACCTTGCTCAATCTCAGCTGGAAACATGCTGGTCAAGCAAATCAGATTTTTTGCTACTCTGTGCATGTTTGCAAATGACCAGAAAGCATCCTGAGCACTGATTTATTTTCCAAGTAGGAAAATTCACAAATAGGGAATCTGGAAATAATGAGGATCAACTGTATTCATACAGCTTGTAGGAAGATTCACTAGCAGAGCATCTGCAAGTAATAAGGATCAACTGTACTCAGAGACTCTGTAGTATAAGTGAGAGAGATGTCCGTAAATCAGAGCAATCTCAAGAAAAAGTTCAAGAAGAAGAGCCATTAAATTGAAGGGAAGTTGCTAGCATAGCTATTTTTCATCTTCTAACAGTTACTCAAAGTATCAAAAAAAAAGGTATAAAAAATAAAATAAAAAATCAACTGCAATGCTATTCCACATTTTGATGTATTTATTTTGGTTGACTACATAGGTCTGTAAACTTTTATTCTCACAACCACAAACAACATCTCACATCCCATTTTTCCTCTTCATAATAAGTTATAAAAATTTAATAGTCATTCATTCAACAAATATTCTAAAAGCCTCAATTACACAATGGGCTCTACACAGTCAATTCTGCGAATGTACCATGATTTGATTCACTCAATACTGTAGGATATTTGGATTTTTTCTAATTTTTGGTTTTTATAAATAATGATATGAAATTGCCTCACTTATAAATTCACATGCATTTCAATTATTTCCTAAATTACTAGAAGTAAAATCACTGAATTAAAACATATAAATATTTTTTAGTTTCAGCTCCAATTATGAAGATAGCCTCCAGAAAGCCTGGGCTGTTTGTGTACCCTGTCACCAATGTGATTAACTGGTAACAAACCAAAACCTGTGCTACTTGCTGAAATGTGGCAGTTTCTTTCTTTCAATGTTATTTTTAAAAAAAAGTTTATAAAACTGGTTAAGTACAGAAGAGCTCAAGCGTTCTCAGCAATCTAGTCTATTATGTATGGGTCCAACCATTTTTCCAATTTGTATTTCCTCTCCTGAAAAGCTGCACTTCTTTTGAAAATGTATCCTAGATATACACATTTTAAGATTAAGATATAAACTGCCAAGCTGCCTTCTTAAAAGACTCTTACACTCTTACAATTTTATGTGCCAGTCAGCAGCACACAAAGACTGCCCACTGACAAACGTCATCCTGCTGGATCTGAAGGCTTAGAAGGTGACAGCAGAAATGTTTTAAAGTAGGAAATCAATGGAAAGATAGTAATGAAATAGGTCTCCAGTAGTTTATTTTTAATGGATTTATAAATATTTAACTATACATGTGCTAAATGTTGAATGATTTAATAATACTATCATCTTACCCTAAGGTCCATTTTTCTCCATGGCTCTTTGTTAGGGTTCAGTTCATAAATGTTATTTCTTCTCACAGCCTCAATATAAGCTTCATGACCCTGTCGAAAATATATTACCTGCAAAATGTATACATTTAAAAATAAATTAAAACCTATGAATAAAACATTTCGTCTTATGGTCCATATTTGTGTTTTTAAATTTTATTACTCTCACCTCATCACCCATTTGAGGAACAAAAGGAGACTTCCGAAGGGTGGTGTCAGTTATCCAAACTGGAGGATGAAATTCATATAAATGTTCCATATTTGCAAGCTCCACTGGAGTCATCCTCCGCAAGTTCTGCCAAGGAGAAGAGAACAAAATTTAATACAACAGAAAGGGCATGCACACACTGTTTAATTGAAAAGCTAAAGAAATTTCACTGATGAGAATGACTATTTACGGGCAATATCACCTAATGATTTGTTTTTAAACAGCATACATATGTCGTTCCTTAACATACACAGTAACATGTATCACTTGTCAAAGTATTGTACTTTGACACTTTTCTAGCATCTCCTGAATTTCTAATAGATTCTTTGTAACACTTTACATTCTATAGGAAGGAGTTAAGTTCCAACCTAAATCCTCCTCAACAGACTGCTCTACCGAGACACCATTCTGAATATCACCATGGACTAATTTTCACAGGGAATCTCCTCTTGAAGTTTTAAGACTGGTGATTTTAAAACATGACCACAACTCTCTGATCCTCTTCCTCTCCTCTTCAAGAGGTGTAGCCCACATCTCCTCCAATTTGAGTGTGGTTCTGGAATTGCTTCTAACAAATAGAATAAAAGCAAAGGGACAATGAGAGGCTTGAAGACTAGGCTGTCACATGCATTAGTGCTCACCCCTTGCTTACATGTCTGGACCACTAGTTCCATGGAAAATCAGCCACCATTGTCATTCAGACACCCAAGCAGCCCTACAGAGGGGCCCATGTGGTAAGGAACTGAGTCCACCAGCCAACTGCCCAATGAATAAGCTTCAAAGAGTATCAGCCAGCTCCAGTCAAACCTCAGACAACTGCCAAGTCCCCCCAATGTGATTAACTGCAACCCTGTGAGCCAAAAATCACCTAATTAGTCCTCAAATTCCCAATCAATCAAAACATGAATACATGTTTGTTGTTTTAAGGAGCTAAAAGTTTAAGGGTCATCTGTTACACAGCAATAGATAACAAGTACGAAGACGTGGCCTCTTTAAATCATGGCCACCACCTGCACGACATGATAAGGAATAGGGACAGCACAATTACAAATGTGTGAATGTGCCAAATGAAACAGAACATGTCAGATGGATCTAGAAAACATGGCAGTAACAGATGGAACAAGAAGTGCCCTGAAATGCCTTAAGGCATATTTCTGCTGTTGAAATTAACAGGAGAAAATAAAGAGTTATGGTGGGATTCCGAGCAAAACAGAGCTTCCCCTTTAAGTGTCAAACTGGGGAAGGAGTTGGTGCCAAGGCCACTTTGGGACAGCCTTGACAGAGAAGCCTTTATAATACAGTTTTTCGAAATATAAATTCACATTTTACATTTGAATCCTGATGACTTAACAGTGTTAACAATATAAAAGCTCAAATTTCCCAAAGATTTTTAATTTCTAAATATTAACAGAAACACCTTTATAAAAAGTGTAAATAGATGTTTTGTTGGGTTTTTTAAAAAGATTTTCTTTATTTATAAGTAAATAAAGAGAGGCAGAGACACAGGCAGAGAGAGAAGCAGCCTTTTGTGGGACTCGATCCCAGGACCACAGGGTCACATCCTGAACTGAAGGCAGCAGCTCAACCAAGTGCCCTGTAAATAGATGTTTTTAAAAATATACTTCTCTTACCTCTTTTTTAGGCTTATTTTCTTTTTTTCTCTTTCGTCTCCTTTTTGGAGGAGATAAATTCTCAGTAGACATTTCATCCTCTGAACTACTGCAAAAGCGAGTAACTCGCCGACGCGAAGATGTCCGTAAAGGTGGCTGCAGATTGATGCCTGCATCAGCAGTCCAATCAGAGTATCTAGATGATGAGTCACTGGAAAAGAAAACAGTATAAGTGTAAGGAACCAGAATCTAAGCCCTGATAGCAAATCTCACACAACCTTTAAGAAGGGAGTAAGAGGAGAGAAGGACGGATCCTGGGAAGACTTAATTTGAACAATCTGTCTTCACCATCAGTGAATACTGAAGATCAGAGGATCATGAGAAAGACAATGGATATTAAGAGAGGATGTGAGCCTGAAGAATTTAAATATAATATAGAGGAGACCTCGTGGAAGACAACATTTAGAGCCAAACATGATTCCCTTTTAGAAGAGGTAGTGTAGCTATGAAAACAGGAGAGATCACGCAGAACCATAAGAGTAGGCCCTTCTTCCCACCCCAAGTGAGAGGTGGCTCAGGAACAGACTAGAAATGTTAACTGGAATGAAAAGCCTTCCAAGAATACACAGAAGCCCAAGGAAAACAGCCACAACAAATAGAAAACTGAGTGGTCAGAGCTTCTTGCCAAGGGGGGAGACTGTCCCCGATATGATAGAAGACCTAAGAGAGGAACTGGTCCTAGCCCAACCACAGAAAACTACATCCAGAAAACAAGCCCCCTCCTCACTACTAGCAAATACAGGAAAGGATGACAAAGGGCTCTACTGGGTCATCAATGGCCAACCGCATATCCCTCAGGCTCAAAAAAACAAACAGTAACACACACATTCCATTCCCAAGAGCTGTTTATTATAAAAAGAGCTCTTTAGAAAAATTGTAAGAGCACCCATTTTGTATAATAAAATTCAAGAGAAGCTGAGTTAAAAGACAGTAATTATAGAGATAGAAAGCAGAACAGTGATTGCCAGGGGACGGGAATGTGAAGTGGACAATTACTATTTAATGGGTATACAGTTTCAGCTTTGCATTGAGCACAGGACACTGGGTGCGCGATAATATGAATATGCTTAACACTACTGAAATACAGAGTTAACAGTTTTATTATGTCTATTTCACAATTAAAAATGAACTTTTAAAATAATAAACAAGTGCTCTAAAAAAATCACTCCAGCTCCTAATCAAAATGGAATACAAAAGGTCAAGAAACGAAATAGAGAGTATAGTACAGTGGTCTAGACAAACACAGGACCAATGGAAACAAATAAAATACTCTGAGTCGTTATGTTAGAAAAAGAGAAAGATGTCCAGGTTTCTGGCCTGAGCTTCTGCCAAAGTGAAGTTGACATTGATTTACCAAGAGGAAGAATGGATGTTAACATCTTGGTCCCATGAAATTTGGATACCAAAGTAAAACAAAAGGTCAGAAGATGCAGTAACTAATAAATAATAAATATAATGATTGTCTTACGACAGATACTTTGGATACTACTCTATAAATGCAGCCCAAGACTAGACTGGTATTTTGCATTCACACACTTGATGTCCTGCTGGTTCAAATGTTTACAGTAAAAAATACTCAAAATATTTTATATAGAAATAGCTGTTAAACCAGTTTTCTTCTCCTTTTAAATTTATTAAAAACTCAGTTGATCCCATAGATGTGAGCTTTTACAACTTGAATGTCATTCATGTCCCACTCCATCCAAGCCTACGACTGAACCCCAGAGAAGATGAGAACAAGGAAAAGAAGATACCTTGAACTCTCGCTGTCACTCTCACTTCTTCTATCACTCCTCCACTCTTCTTCTTCAGAGGAACAAGAGCCTTCACTCTGATCACAGGAAGTCTATTTGTTAGAAAAGGAAATAAAATTAAAATCCTGATCTGGGAGATTAAGCAGCACAAGTCAAGAAAACTGAACTTTGTCCTAATCATCTTAGGTCATCGGGCAAGAAAAAGAATTAGATGGACTTTAAAAGTGAATGTCTTTACTATATTCTTTTTCTTATCAAGGCGTAAGGTACCACAGTCTACGACTTAACACTACTACTGTTAATACAGCCGGTCCTTGTCTGAGTGAAGCTCATAAAAAGTCAATGTAAATGTTCTCAGTGTTTTGTTGGACTTAGGCCATCGTATTAATAAGCCTGCAGTGGGATCTCAACATTCTACTCTCACACCCCATGACTGATGTTGCACATCTTTCCACCATATGATCACACCTGATTTTTAAACTGGATTTTTTGTTTTCTCATGAGTATCTTTTTAAGAATTCATGGTATGTTTTAAATACAAGTCCTTTATCAGATAGGAGCTCTACAAATATTTTTTCCGTCTATACGTTTGCCTTTCCTTTCTCTTAGCAATATCTTTCCCAGAGTAGATTTTAATTTCAATTAAGTCTAGAGGGATCCCTGCGTGGCGCAGCGGTTTAGCGCCTGCCTTTGGCCCAGGGCGCGATCCTGGAGACCCGGGATCGAATCCCACGTCAGGCTCCCGGTGCATGGAGCCTGCTTCTCCCTCTGCCTATGTCTCTGCCTCTCTCTCTCTCTGTGACTATCATAAATAAATAAAAATTAAAAAAGACTTCTCTCAATTAAGTCTAGCTTGTCATTTTCCTTTAAGCACGTTTTTCATGCTTTTGGTATTCTATCTAAAAAGTCACTGCCATACCCAAGGTTCCCTATATTTTAATTTCTTCCGGAAATTTTAGTTTTGTGTTTTTATATATTTTTTAAGATTTTATTTATTCATAAGAGATGGGGGGGGGGGGGCAGAGACTCAGGCAGAGGGAGAAGCAGGCCCCATGCAGGGAGCCTGGTGTGGGACTCGATCTCAGGTCTCCAGGATCACGCCCTGGGCTGAAGGCAGCGCTAGACCGCTGAGCCACCTGGGCTGCCCTAGTTTTGTGTTTTATATTAAGTTTATGATCCATTTTGAGTTAATTTTTGTAAAAAAAATCTGTGTCTAGATTTTTTTTTTCTTACATGTGGATATCTAGTCACTCCAACACCATTTGTTGGAAAAAACTATGCTTTTATCGAGTTGTCTTTATTCCTTTGTCAATCACTACTTGACTGTATATGTCTTGGTCTATTTCCTGATTTCCCTATTCTGTTCCATTGATCTACTGTCCAGGCTTTCACCAAAACCATACTGTCTTAAAAACTACAGATTTATACTAATTCTTAATGTCAGATAGTGTCAGTACTCCAACTACATTCTTCAGTATTCTGTTAGCTATTCTGGGTCTTTTTCCTCTCCAAATAAACTTTAGAATCACTCTGCCAACAGCCACAGAATTAACTTGGGATTTTGACTGCAATGGTGTTGAATCTACAGATGAAGCTGGAAGAACTGACATCTTAACAACATACAGAAACAGAGCTCTCTCATTCATTGTTTATGGAAATGCAAAATATAATATGGCCACTTGGGATGAGTCTGGAAGTTTCTTACAAAGCTGTACATAGCTTTATCATATGATCTAATAAATATGCTCCTTGGTATTTACCCAAATGCATTAAAAAAATAATGTCTACACAAAACCTGCACATGGAAGTTTATTCAGCTTTATTCATAAAACTCTCAAAACTTAAAAGCAGTCAACATGTCATTCAGTAGGTGAATGAATAACATGTGGTAAATACAGACAATGGAATATTCAGTTCTAAAACTACATGAAAATATCAAGCCATAAAAAGTTGTAGGAAACCTAAACTCGTGTTACTATAAAGTAGCCAATCTGAAAAGGCTATATACTGTATAATCCAACATATGGCACTCTGGAAAAGTCTATGGAAACAGTAAAAAAGATCAGTAGTTGCCAGTGACTTAGGAGGAGGGAGAGAAAAATGATTAAATATAGCCCAGTGGGGGTTTAGGGCAGTGGAACTGTCCTGTCTGGGACTGTTACTGTAGATCATGCTGATGTCAAAACCCACGGAACTATACAACACACAGTGATCCCTAATGTAAACTAGACAATACAGTTCACCAGCAGCAGCAAATGTACCACACTAATTCAAGGTGTTACTAATAGGAGAAAAGAATATATACAGAAGATGTTACCAATAGGGAATAGAGTATATGGGAATTCGCTGTATTCACTGTAAACCTAAAACTGCTCCAAAACAAACTTTTGGTTTTTTGTTTTGTTTTGTTTGAGGCCAATAAAGGAAAGAGAAGGAAACAAACAACTCTTTGATTTCCATAGCGCTAATGGTTGCAATCTATTTAAGTTCTGGTCATGGATCCCAGACAGGTACTTTTAAACTGAGACAGGACAGTATTTCCTTTAACAGTATTTACATTAGGAGGTTTGAAGGGATGCCTGGGTGGCTCAGTGGTTGAGCATCTGCCCTTAGCTCAGGTCATGATCCCGAGGTCCTGGGATCAAGTTCCACACTGGGCTCCCTGCAAGGAGCCTGCTTCTCCCTCTGCCTCTCTCATTCATTCATTCATAATAAACAAATAATCTTTAAAATACATACATACATAAGGAGGTTTGATAATGGATAATGAAAATATCAGTGAGAACCCAAACTCAGAAAGACAAAATTTCAAGTTAATATCTACTTTTGGGGGTATGTGGGTGACTCAGTCAGTTAAGCATCTACCTTCAGCTCAGGGGTCCTGGGATTGAGCACTGTCTCAGGTTCTCTGCTCAGCAGGTTCTCTCACTCTCCCTCCCCACCTCAAATAAATATGTAAAATATTTTTTTAAAAATCCACTTTTGTTTACTTTATTTGAACAGGCAAAATGTAAGGTCAACATATTCTAAAAACTGGGTTTTTAGATCCCTGGTTGGCTCAGCGGTTTAGCACCTGCCTTCAGTCTAGGGTGTGATCCTGGAGTCCCGGGATCGAGTCCCACATCGGGCTCCCTATATGGAGCCTGTTTCTCCCTCTGCCTGTGTCTCTGCCCCTCTGTCTCCCTCTGTGTCTCTCGTGAATAAATAAATCTTTAAAAAGGGGGCGGGGGGATCCTTTGGTGGCTCAGCAGTTTGGTGCCTGCCTTTGGCCCTGGCCGTGGTCCTGGAATCCCGGGATCAAGTCCTGGGATCGAGTCCCACATCGGGCTCCTTGTATGGAGCCTGCTTCTCCCTCTGCCTATTGTCTCTGCCTCTCTCTGTGTGTCTCTCATGAATAAATAAAATCTTAAAAAAAAAATTCTAAAAACCATTTCTCAAAATGTGAGCCCAATGCTCTTCCAGGAGTATAGATTCCTAGGCCTAGAATGACAGAACTACTAAATAGGTGTCTGCTTCTCTCACTCAATACTTTTTTAAATTACAATAATAAACTCTTAAAAGCTACTACCTAGAAGCCTTGCACCCTATGAATGTCTTATATGTATTATTCCAATTCTCCAAACAAAACAAAATTAATGACACTAAGTTTCAGAGACTTCTGCTTTAACTTGCCTATCTCTAACTTGCTACTTTCAAGTAGCATGCATCTACTTGAAACTTTGAGCTACCCTTTTTTTTTTTTTAACATTTTATTTATTCATTCATGAGAGAAAGACAGAGAGGCAAAGACACTGGCAGAGGGAGAAACAAGCTCCCCTTGGAGAGCCCGATATGGGATTCAATCCCAGATCCCAGGATCATGCCCTAAGCCGAAGACATTCAACCGCTGAGCCACCCAGGTGTCCCTTTGAGCCACTTTTCTGTAAAAAAAATTAAAAAGTCCCTAAAATTACACAAGCTTCAAACTCCACAAAACTCAGATCCACCCTGCCTATGAGTTTTGTATTATCTCCCAAATTCCTACCTATACATTACTAGCTCTTCATCTATAGGGACACCCAAGGTTAAGAAAAGTAAAGTAACATGCCTGAGGTCACAGGAAGGTAAGTGCAGGAACTAGAATTAGAAATCTGGTTAACTAGGAAGCCCTTAAAATTTTACTACCATTACTGTTTTCCAAATCAAAATGGAATGGAACCAACATGCATATACACAACACCCCTATATCTCTATCCTGCTGCCCCTCCCCACGCACACAGACCATCTCCACCCACACCCTCCCTTACTACAACAACACAGGTGAATGAATTCATACCACTGGAGATAAAACCAACTACCAAACCACAAAATTATGATTTATTTTTAAAGATCAAATGGATTTATCATTCTACCTTATCTAGGTTTGCATTAGTTTAAAAAGTTCCCCATTACTTAAAAACACACCAAATTAACAGAAACAAAGAGAAAAATCATATGATTGAAACCAGTGAGGATTTAAAAAGGAAAAAAAATCTATAATCAATCCTGACATTTCAAAAAGAACATAAGCAAGCACAAGCATTAGTTGATAACCCCTTGGCAAAAGATGTATACTATAGACACCTAAAAATAAAGCATATTAAAAAATAATAAAGCATATTACTTAATGTGAAAATGGTGACACACGTCCACCAAAAGGAATACGGACCACCACCTCCATTACTATTCAACACTGTGTGGGAAGAACTGAGTGATGCAATTCGATAAATCAATGAGAGGTACAAAAATTAGGAGTAAAACTAAGTATCTGAGTAAGGAGAAAGTATTCAAAAAATCTGAGAGAATTCAATGATAAAATTAACTCAAAAATTCAGTAACGTAGCAGGAGGTGTAAAAAATTAAATCTACTGAAATCAGTAGCCTTCATCCATGCCAAGTAATATCCACTTAGAGGCCATAATGGCAGAAAACACTCAGCACCTTATAAACTACAGATAAATAACTCGTATCCCTAGAACATAAAGAACTTTTAAAAATTAAGGCAGGGGGGTGTGCCTGGGTGGCTCAGTCAGTTAAGAGTTCAACTCTTGACTCTTGATTCTTAGGTCACAGTCTCAGAGTTGTGAGATTGAGCTTCGCATTAGGTTCAACCCTGGGCAAGGAACCTGCTTAAGATTTGCTCTCTCCCTCTCCCTCTGTCCCTCCCCCACAAAAAAGAAAAAAATTAAGGCAGGGGTGTGGGGGATGAGGCCAAAAACATGACAGAGAAATGATCAAAAAACATACACAGTCCATAAAGATAGAAAAAAAAAAAAACCACTGAATACATGAAAAGATGTTCAACAATTTCACACACATGAGAAAGTAAAAATAAAACTATTCTGTGAAATAAACCAAAAACAAAAGGATAAATATTGCATGACTTCACTTCCAGGAGTCCCTAGAATAGCAACGTTACAGAGATAGAAAGTAGAAGAGGGATGGAGAGGGGATTAGGGAGCCAGTGTTTGATGAGTACAGACTGTCTGTTGGGGATAAAGAGAGAGTGCTAGAAACATACAGTGGTGACGGCTACACACATTGTAGGTATAGTTAATGCCAATGAACCATATGCAGAAAAACAGTCAAAATGATAGATCTTGTTGTATATACTTTATCACACTAAAAGAACAGCCAAAATATAAATAAATAAATAAATATATATATATATATACACACTAAAGACACCATCTCTCACCCATTAAATTGGCAAAAATTATCAAGTGTAACACACACTGTTGGCTAACAGTAGGGAAATATGCACTCCCAGGCACCACTGGGAGGAATGCCAAGTTGGAATCCTCCTTCAGCAGGAATTCTTTTATCACTATGTCATACAACTTATGGGTATCTAACTTTGGACCCTGCAATCCCACTCCCAGGAACAGACTCCCAAATTACATCTCCGACAGCACAAAACTACATACACAGACAAAACCCTGTGGCATTACTTATAATGACAACCCTGGAAATGTCCTAAACACCCGTAAGTAAGAGGTTAAACAAACTGTTACAAGCCCACAATTACATATGATGCAACTCTTAAAAAACCACAGAGAAGATATTTAAGAACTGATAGGGAGTAAGTTCAAGAATATTTCAAGTGAAAAAAAGTCCAGGGCAAAAGAGCATCTATAGTATGCTCTTATCTTGTGTATAAAAGGAAAAACAATAAAATATATACAAGTATCTGATGAAAGTATAAAGAAAAAACACAGGAAGCATAAACCAGAAACCACTGAGGATGGGTGGGAACACTTATCATAATTACCCTACTATTAAAAAAGGGTTAAAATATGCTCAATTCACTATAAATAAGAAAATAATGCAAAAACAGTCTTATTACATAAAATCAGTTACACTAAAGCTAGTGATAATAGCAGCTAGCATCACTGGATATTAGGCATTGTTTTAAACACTATATTTATAATCAAGTGAGTTCTCACATCTCTGAGGAATATATGCTATACCACTGACTGCTTTCACAGATCTGGCCAGAGACACAAAAAGGTTAAACAACTTGTCCGAGTGCAAGAATTTAGATTTAATCTCAAACCCTATGTCAGCTACTACTTTAATGCTTTGTAACAGAATTAAATGAATTCTCTGTCCGTCCACATGGAACATTTCAAACCTCAAAACATTACTGATTATAAAATATTAACATTCTATTATTAAATGTTAATGACTCCTTACAAAAATACTGGCTTCAAAGACGCCCAGGTGGCTCAGCGGTTTAGCGCTTGCCTTCAGTCCAGGGCGTAGTCCTGGACTCCCGGGATCGAGTCACACATCAGGCTCCCTGTATGGAGCCTGCTTCTCCCTCTGCCTATGTCTCTACCTCTCTTTTTCTGTGTGTGTCTCTCATGATAAATAAATAAAATTTAAAAATACGGCTTCCCCCAAAAATCAAAATGAAGATCAGTAATTGTGTGTGATTATTCAAGGTCACGCAAAGGGGTTAGAGAAAGGCTTAAATTTGCTAGCAAAAGCAGAAGCAACTTAAGTTTAAAAAAAAAAAAAAAGAAATCAACTGGATTTCATCAAACTATAAAACTTTTGTGCTCTAAAGGAAACAAACCATCAAAATGAAATGCCGCCCCCCTGCATGGGAGAAAATACATGCATATTTTCTATCTGCAAAGGACTTGCATCCAGAATAAAGAATTCTCACAGTAATAAAAAAAAGACAACCAAACTGAAAAATGAGCAACAGATTTGCAAAGACATTTTTCCAAGGATAGACAGGAAATAAGCACATGTTCCACATTATTAATTACTTGCATTATTCATTACGAAAATGCAAGTCAAAACCAATGAGCTACTCCTTCACAGCTGCTGGGACAGCTAAAATCAAAAGTACAGACAATGCCAAGTCCTGCCAAGGATGTGGTGCAACTGGAATCCTCAAACAATACTGAAGGGAATATAAAATAATGCAGCTGCTTTGTAAAGTATTTTAGCAATTCCACCAAAGGTTAAACAGAGTTACCACATGACCCAGCAAACTGACTCCTAGATAGATGCCCAAATGAAACAAAAGCTTATGTTCAAAAAAAAAAAACAAAACAAAACTGTATGTTAGTAAGCTGCATTATTCCTAATAGTCAAAAAGAAGTATGGATACATACTACACATGATCAAGCTTGGAGACATGTCAAGCAAAAAGAAACCAGTCATAAAATCATATGATTCCATTTATATAAAATGCCCAGGACAGGCCAATCAATCCACAGAGACAGAAGGATTAATGGTTGTCAGGAGCTGAGTGAGATGGGCTAGGAAGTAAATTGCAAATGAGTTTAGATTTCATTTTAAAGGCAACAAAAATATTTTGAAATTAAATAGCAGTGATGATGGCACAATTCTGTTAATATACTAGAGCTACTGGAGTATATACTTGTAAGTATCTCAAGCCGCTAAAAGTCATTCTAGTCTCTTGGTAGATTCAAAGGAAAGAATTAAGACAAACTATTTAACATTATTTTATATCATTTATAGTTATAAAACTCACGTGTCTTATAGAGCTTGAAGATTCATTTCCAGAAGATAACTCAAGCCGGCCAAGATTTCTTCTACCATAATTTGGGTATTTGCGCCTGCATGACCTCTGCCTAGACTGTGACAGCAAAACCACTGAATCAGACTGAAACATAAACATACAAATGAAAATCAACACCCAAATAAGTACAATAGTCAGCAAGATGGGCATTCTTTCAAATTCTAAAAGGCATTTAAGTCAAAAATAAAAAAACAATAATTCAAATATATATATATATACACACCTATAGTTAAAATAAACTTGGTATTTTTACTTTTAAGGTACTTAGAAGGGATCCCTGGGTGGCTCAGGGGTTTAGCTCCTGCCTTCGGCCCGGGGCGTGATCCTAGAGTCCCAGGATCAATTTCCACATCAGGCTCCCAGCATGGAGCCTGCTTCTCCCTCTGCCTATGTCTCTGCCTCTCTCTCTTTCACTCTCTCTCTCTCTCCCACCGTGTCTCATGAATAAATAAAATCTTAAAAAAAAAAAAAAAGGTACTAGAAGACATGGCTAATGAGGCATATTATATCAGCATTTTCCAAACTAAATTGTCAGTAGTTTTGCCGCCATTCATACTATAACAGCAACAACCCCAAAAGGGATAGCTCTTAAATTATGTAATTTAGAGGTGAAAATATATATTCGTATATTATGACGCTATTACCAACATTAGAAACATATTACTGTTTGTGTACACAGGTATCAAGAAATATCTAAAATAATCCTCAAATATTAACCCTCACTTGCTTCCAGATTATAAATTTTTAGAGGATTTGTTTTCAATACTTTTCAGCTTGACTTTAATTTTTAAAATATATTTTATCAAAACAAAATAATTAAATAATCTTTAAAAATCATCCAAGTAAAATAGACTGCATTTATATAAAGGGTGGAGGGAAGCATGCTATTCCTCAAACACTGAAGCTGTATGTGAAATCACTCAATGAAAGTACATATTCCTTGAACTGATACACAAATTAATTTTCACATTTGTGTCTTATGTTTGATAATCACTGGTCTCTTATTTTGATACAAACTGGCTGATCTTAAAATGAATTATGCTTTCCTTAGTTTGTCAGCACTGATTTTTGTTAAAAACAAAAACTCCTATTAATAAGTTCCATGACTTAATTTGTAAACACAGATGGACCAAACTACCCTTAAGAAAAAGAAAATCTCTCAAAATACATATTGTTTTAAAATAAGTTTGAGGGCATTCTCTACGTAAGAAGCCTATAAAGAACTGTAGGACTGAGGGCACCCGAGTGGCTCAGTCAGTTAAGAAATGCAGGCACAAGATAGTAAAAAGAGTGCCAACAATAAAAGAAAACCCTGGAATTTCACTCTGGAAGACGAAGCTGAAGGGTTCAGGATGTAAGCAAAACAGTGACAGACTAAATTCATGAGTTAGGCTAATAGAAACTTGTAATTCAGAACCTCCTATGTGTGGGAGAACACGCCAGGCTTTGGCTGTTCAATCTAAGGGTACTACTGCCTAGACCTCTGGGTAAACTACAGATGAACACTAATTCAAAGAAACTACAAATCCTGTTTGGATTAAGGCAACATAGGCTTGACAGTGGCCCCTAGGAGTTTACCAGAAGCAAATGTAAATCCTCTCTAGGGGAAGAAATATCATCCTAGGCTTCAAGTTATTTCTAACATTTAACATTCACAGTCAAAACCACAGGCAACAAAGAAAATGTGATGCTAGGGCAGCCCGGTGACTCAGCGGTTTAGTGCTGCCTTCAGCCCAGAGCCTGATCCTGCAGATCAAGTCCGGAGTCGGGCTCCCCGTATGGAGGAGCCTGCTTCTCCCTCTGCCTGTGTCTGTGTGTGTGTGTGTCTCATTCTCTCTCTCTCTCAGGAATAAATAAAATCTTTAAAAAAGAAAATGTGATGCTAAAAAATGAGAAAAAAATCAATAAGCAACGGAAACGGGAACAAGATATTCAAATAATGACATTATCAGACACAGATTTTTAAAGTAAGTATGGCTGGTTTTTAAGAAATTAAAATGAGAACTTCGGCAGACAACTTGAAGCTCTCAAGAAAAGGACTAAATAAAAATTCTAAACTGAGAAGGAGAATAACTAAGAACACAATAGATTTAACACCAGATTACACACAGCTAAACAGAACTAACAAAGTGGAATAGAGGTCAGAAAAAAAAAATTCAGAAGAGTGGACAGCAGCCTAACAAAAGGGAATCAGCAGTAAAAATCTAATATATGTGTAACTGCAGTGTCATGAGGAGGGAAACATATAGTATGCAAATGCTAGCCAAAGGAAAGCTAGCATAGCCATATGAAGATTTTAGAGAATAAAACATTACTAGAAATGAGTGAAAATTCATACTGAAAAAAGGTTCAATTCAGTAGGGAAAAAGGAAATTCTAAATGCGTGTGTACCGAATAATATAGCTGCAAACCACATAAAAATAGAAATCCACAAACATAATGAAATTTTAATACCTATCTCACTATAGGTAGAAGTGCAATCATTCTGAAATGGCACAAGGCATTAACTACCAAGCGGAATATACACATATCCAATGATCCAAAAACTGTACTCCAAAGCATATACTTAAAAGAAATATGCACACAGATGCCAAGAGATATATACAAAATGTCGAAAGCAGAATTATGACTAATAGTCAAACATAAAAACAACCCAAATGTCCTTCAAGAACAGACTGAATAGCAGCATGTTCCTCAAGCAATGCAAACAGATGGACTTCACCTACTCACAGCAACACAGATAAATCTCATGTAGTCAAATGACTAAGCCAGATAAAAAAGATTTGCATACTTCAGGATGCCACTTAGATCAGTGTTTCTTGATGTTTTTGTAACATCACTACCCTACAGGAAACTCTGAACTTTTTTTCTGATTTGCTCCTCTACAAAATATAATGCCATAGATCTACACTGCCACTGTTTACACACCATGTATTACTGTGCTTGTGCTTTGCACATGAAAAGGTTAAGTATAAAGCTTAGACTTTTTACTCAATATAGGATTAAAAATCATAATTTCTGAGTTAAAGATTAAATTGAAAATTTTAAAGCACTTCACACATTTAACTAACTATTCCTTGAATTTTAATTTACATAGACTGTAACATACCAAATAACATACCCAAATTAGAACTATGAATACATAAGAACAGCAATATAATCAAATTTTTAAAATCTTGCAAAACTTATTATTCCAGCAAAAGTAAAGCTTAATTGAAAAAATGTATTTGTTTCTTAAAAATTATTTTAGTGAATTTAACTTTCAAATTTTTTTCATGAGAAAACATCCTAACTCAGGGCAAAGATACTCAATATTCTTCTCAATACTTGACAAAATGAGTTGAATCACTTTTAAATTAAAGATAAAAACTATTTTTACTTCATTCTCAATGCCCAAATCACATACAAAATTACCAAGCATCAAGCTTAAACAACAAGGCACATCATGACAGCCCAGCACACACAGGCCATCTGTCAGGACATGCCTTCAACACTGGTCAACTGAAAGCAAGTCCTGGAAACATAATCACTTTACAACCAAGTTTTGTAGCAGTGATCTTGAAACATTTTGCACATCTTCCACAAATTAATGCTGTTCATGTTATGTTCATGAAAATCAAAAGAGAAACTAAATATTAAGGAGTAAGATTTCCTTTGGCAGGATGAAGCTTTGGAGGGTCACAAACCATTGTAAGTCTAAGATTTTTCTTTTATGTGAATATCTGGATAAACTTGAAACAGACAAAGCTAACCAGCAGTTTTAGAAGTCAAAGGGTTGGCTAGTTGTGGAAGTCAGTGAGTGGAAATGCACCTAAAATGCCTGTGATGGGCCTGTAACATTCCAGTTCTTGACCTGAGTGGTCATCAGACAGTAATTTTCCAGAATCCTTTGGCATTGTTAGGCATTAGGCTACTTGCTTCCCTCAAGCTTCAGACCACTCTTTCCTAACAGCTGTACAACCTCATGTCTACTCTTCTTTTAAATCCCAAACAGAAGACTGTGAGCAAGAAATATTCTACCTCAGGCAAAAGTTACTAATATTCTTACTGAACCAAAAAGAAGCATAAATTCAGTTTAATTTCTAATTATTCCTAAGCAAATAGAATTTAGATTACCTTTTGTGTGAACTGGAGAGTCTTCCTTTTTCTTCCTATTATATAAAGATTTCTTTCCTCTTCACCTTTCTCTATTCTGAAGTCTTCCAACTTCCTACAAATAAAAGTATCCAGTTATAGGAGTTAATGAACTGATGCATAAAGTAAAGAATATAAAGAGGAAAAACTAATCATTTTGACTTAGGGCAAAATAAAATTATATATTTTTTAGATTAATACAGAAAGTTCCTAAAGTTATAACAAAATAAGTCAAGCTCTAGTTTTATGTTAGAAATTTAATATAATCTCAGAGACAGGAGGTCCTTTTTTCATATTTAATACAGAAATATTTGTTTGTTTGTATTTTCATTGACCCAATACAGGCAATGCAAACAGAATCTTTCATACTGGCTACTCAAAATCTCCCTATGAATTTTCCAATATTGCAATTCCTTTCTCTAAAGAAATAAAAGAGAATCCTCCTCTAAATTTATTCAAACTTCATGTTTCATAATTTTTAGAAAATCAGAATAGCAGTATTACTCATACTTCTAATTACTTACATCTCCAACTAACATGATACAAAAGAAAGATTGTTATTGTGACTGACTTCATTCAACACAAGGAACCTTCCACCAAGAGGAAGATACTGAAGTTAATTTTCCTTCTCTATGGTTAGAAAATTCACGTGACTGTCCTTTTTCTACAATTTGAACATTGTTGAAAACATACAGCTTTGTGTTCTGTGTTCACTTTAAAATCCCACTTGGGCCACTTTCAAAACTGACATATTGGCCATGCTTCAAGATACAAACGGATGCTCAAAAGAGTATGCACACAAATGCCCTAAGATATCTTTTATCTTTCATCTGAGATAAAAATTGATTTCTACAGAAATTGCATTTTTCTCTCGGTACATCTCCAGCCCACACTCAGAATACAGTGGAGCAATACTGTATCCACAGAGCAGCTCTAAATCAGACTCAACCCTTCACGAGTTGTCAGTTTCACCAATTTTATGTGTATTTAAGGAACTATATATAAGGTTTTTCACTTGCAGCCAGATGAAATTCTATCCCATAGCTGTACGCTTCTCTTTGTTTTGAAAATGAAACACTACATACACTTCATTCTCAACCAATAATAAAGCAAAGGAACATTCTAGGCCTTCATGAGTATCATCTTCAACTCTGCAATTCCATGGCTAAATGAGACCGTTAAAGGATATTATAAAGATCACATAAAAGAATATGAAGAATATAAAGAATAAGCATGAACAGAATGAGGAGAGTCTCTACTATAACTGAATTAAGACAAACTAAATGCCTGAAATCCAGCCCCAACCAGAACTGTGTCTACTGGGAAGCAGTGCTGTATACTTGGCATTCTGTCCTTTGGGGTCATCTCACACTTTCATTTATTACCTAAATTTCTCACAATGGACGCATATTACTTTCATAGTTGGAAAACTTTAATTTTCTCTTGATCCACATCGAATACCAGCTTAAGTAAACAGTTATGTCAAATTCCCAATGCTCCCACTAAAGGACTGTCATCAAGAGCACTGATTGAGGGACCCCCGGGTGGCTCAGTGGTTGAGCGGTTGGTTGCCTTTGGCTCAGGGCATGATCCTGGGGGCCGGGGATCGAGTCCCACATCGGGTTCCCTGCAGGGAGCCTGCTTCTCCCTCTGCCTATGTCTCTGCCTCTCTCTCTCTGTCTCTCTCACGAATAAATAAATAAAATCTTAAAAAAAAAAAAAAAAGAGAGAGCACTGATTGTTACCAGATCATTCAGCATCTCCTTTACAAAATCCCATATGTATTTTAGAATACAGTACTGCAAAGAGTTACACTCTTCTTTGGGAAAAATTACAGCGGACAGCTAGTTGACACAAAAATTCCATTCTCCTTTTCTTCCTTTGAAACAGAATCTCAGTTTCTATCTAGGCTCTCTGCTGCTCTAAATACAATCTATCACCAAGCTAAGTATGCCCATATAACAACATTCTGGTCCATGAGTTATGAGCAGAAAATGTCAAATGCAACCATTAAGGCTGCTTAAGTGAAGTCCCTCAACAAGAAATGTCCTTATTGTCTGTTTCTCTTCCTTTTTCTGGCCTAAATCTCAACCTCCATCACAAATGAAGATATATGATTGCCACTGTATCAAGTCCAACTAATCTTGGACTTTGAGGTGACTTTAAGATTGGAAGCCACACTCTAAGATGGAGATCAGAAACAGAGGAGCCAGAGTTGGTGATTAACCGGGAACCATGATTCCAGCCTAAAACTATCTCCATTCTTCCACGTTAAGAGAATAAATAAATACTTCTTTAAGGAACTATTCACCAGGTCTTTCACTCCTGCTATTTGTATGCTTCTCTTGTTTTTTGGGTTTTTTTTAAGATTTTATTTATTTATTCATGAGAGACAGAGAGAGAGAGAGAGAGAGAGAGGCAGACACGTATAGGCAGAGGAAGAAGCAGGCTCCATGCAGGGAGCCCAATGTGGGACTAGATCCCAGGACTCCAGGATCACGCCCTGGACCAAGAGCAGACGCTCAACCACTGAGCCACCCAGGCGTCCCACTTCTCCTGGTTTTAACAACAAAAAGTATCCCAAAATGACCCTTTTGAGTTCTGATGCCTAGGCAACTCAGACATAATTTTAAGGCTTAATCATAGCATAGCACTATAGGATGGTGATTTCCTGTATTTCTCATCCCAATACCAGATTTTGCTTTTCATTACTTTGTGTATTTATAAACATTTTTAAATTCACTGCATAGTATGTAAGTACTACATTCCTCCACCAATTACTGAAACTCTTCTGCATCAACACATGAAGGACATACCTTTACAAAATTACCTTCAAAGAACTGTGACATTAATAGAATACTGAACATTTCAGATATCAGTGAAAAGCAACATTCGCTACCTGTCTTTCATTACCTCAAAAATCAGGTTACAACTCAGTAGCAAGAAGACCCTACTGCCCAGACTATAACTGTGAAATATTTCCCACTTTAAAACTAGGCTGCTTAAAAGAAAAGAATGATTCCACATCCAGGATGAGAAATTTAGAAGATAAACTTGTAACTCCTTGCCATGCCGCCTGATAACAGGGACGCTATAGAAGGATACTACCTGTCATTTCAAAAGGATTCAGGAGGCACCTCCAAGTGGCTCTTCCTGGTCAGAGACGGAAAAACTTAAAAATCAGTAAGGATATTAGAAAGAAGCTAAATCATGGCAGTGTGATTTACACAGTGAAGAACACAAACACAAACTGGTCGTCACTGGGGGTGGAAGGGAGTAAATCTTCATTTTGAAGGTGAATAAAGCAAGATAAGCATCTATCTTGTCTTTTTGATACAAACTTTACCACTAGGTGAAGAGTACATTTGGGTAAATTTCTTTTTTAGAAGCACCCACTGTAACAAATGAAGACTTCAGAGTTGAGCAATCACTGTTTCATGGCTCCTAATGAGTTAATGGACCCAGCCAGTGAGCACTAACGCCTGCTTGCCTCATGAAAAGACAACACATATTATGTACCTTTTCACAAAGTAACTTAAATGGTCTTGCAAAGAACTGAAAACACGCCATGAAACAATTGGAAATTTAAACACAGACTGAGTATTTGATTCTACTGAATTATTTTTTTAAGGTTATGATAAAATTAGAGGACTGTTTGTAATATTGAAAATTTCTTATCTTTTAGAATTACACAGACATATTTATGAACAAAATGATACACCTGGGATTTACTTCAAAATAACACTGAAGGGAGAAAAGCAGGTATTTGTAAAGATGGAACAAGAATGGTTAAGAAAAAATTTACCATAGTAAAAACTTAGAGAACAATTTCGACATTTTCCTACCACAATTAAAAGATTCCAACCCATTACTAAAATATATTTATATGATTATTTATACCACTAATGGAGTAAAAAATGCATAAAATAACCATATAGATATATTTTTGTAAAAAGAAACAATATTAATAGATATCCTAAAACAAACCTAAATATGCCTAGTGGTACCTCTGGTACAACCACTCTTCGTTTCCAAGCCTGCAGGTCACGTTCTGTAGCAATCTGACTACGTGGAGCATTTTGATGCATCTGACGAACACCTTCAACTTGTCCACTGCGACGCAGACCAATGTTTGGAGGGGACTGGATGTCTAAGCTCAGCCTTCTAAAACCTAAAGAAAAATTGTCAAAACTGATTCCAAAACAAATATGCATTGAACATGTAATAGGAATATACATTCCTCCTAATAAGCTACAAAAAACAAAAATACCAATCAAAACAATTCTGTAAAAAAGAATCATAATGTAACTGAGATCAAAATACAGGACACTGGGATCCCTGGGTGGCGCAGCGGTTTGGTGCCTGCCTTTGGCCCAGGGCGCGATCCTGGAGACCCGGGATCGAATCCCACATCGGGCTCCCGGTGCATGGAGCCTGCTTCTCCCTCTGCCTGTGTCTCTGCCTCTCTCTCTTTCTCTCTCTGTGACTATCATAAATAAATAAAAATTAAAAAAAAAAAATACAGGACACCTTTTAACTTCAACTTCCATTTTTACTAGACTTCCTGAAATCTTTTAAAGTACAGATATTTTCTATTATACTGCTATTATTTGCAATCCTAAAGGTCTTGCCTTCCTCAAAACTGCACACTAAAAACACCTCTTTTTGGAAAAATTAGCATTGCAGATAGTCTCCTCAAACTATGGTTGCTTCATAATAAGAGCTAAAACACCAACATTACTTGTGACTTTAAGAGATAATCTGTGCCACTGGGGCAGGCAAGCTCCCAAAGTGGATATTAAAACTTCACAAAATGCGACAGGGAAATGCTGGCAAGCTCCTGAATTGGAGCTGAGAGAGTGAAGGACGGGCAACGCAGACCCCAGGAACCCAGCCTGTGCAGAGCTAATCTGGGGGGGCAAAGGAGGCACGGCAGCCTCCCATGACTGCAAGTCAGCAGGATGAATTATGGACCCCAAAGTGGCAGCAGATATCCCAGGTAAAGTGCTTGTTTTCTTAAAACATTGGATGAAGTGGCTCCTCCTATTAGTGTAACAGAAACTATGGGCTATATCCATGCTTGTAGGATGACAAAAAATTCTGGGAGTACCAGTGCAGCATGACATGGCAGGGATCACGGCTTCCCTAACCTTCCACAGCATTCATCTTCCCCCGTTGAGTTTCCATCTGTTTAACCACTGTCTGCTCCTCTACATTATCTCCACTACGAATGTAATGAATACTACATTCCAGGATCAGGAACTTCATCCTGAAAATTCATTCAAGCCTTCTGATTCCGTAAGAAACATTTAGCACTCTAACCAACTAATATTTTTTAATTAAAAATGTTTAAAGGGAAACCTAGAATTGTAGTTTTCCTTAAACATTCAAACACACTTTGTTCTTTACTCATTTAATACAATTTTATAAATACTTTTATCATAGAGCAAAAAAAGGTTTTACAGCCTCTCTAGGTACTTGAAAATCAAACGTTCGTTTACTAGCACACCAACTTCACACCTCATGAAATTACCCTCAGACTACTGAAGTGGTAAAAATACACTTCAAATTTTTTACTGCACATAACTGACAGTTACTTCATTTACTCTCAGTTCAGCCTTATTAAGACAAGATATTTCTCATACATCTTACCTCTTCGAGGTGTTTCTTCTCCACTTGGAAGTCCACTGGGAAGAGTATCCTGATCTGCCCCCATTCTCTGATCCTGCTGCTGCTGCAACTGTCTTATCATTCCATCAAGAACACTGGACTCTGGGCTTCGTTCACCATTATCATTGGTTTGTAGGCTTATAATCTGTTCAATCACCTCTCCGTCACCTGTAAATTCAAAATCATAATAAACACAAATAGGAAAACTCTCGAACCCTAAACCCCTGAAGTAAGCATGTGGAAACATGTGGAAGTTTCATGGAAGTTTCAGCGGAAGCTTCATTTTACTGTTACACACTAACAGTCCCCTCAAACTTATATAAGACATACTTCATTCAACTCTGATTTCCTGAGGTCTCCGACAAGACCAGAGTAACAATGTGTGTTATTTCTGATGTACAAAAAAAGAGTGGCGTTTCTTCTCTGCTCTCTTTTTTTTTTTTTTTAATTTCTTAAGAGAGTAATACTCTTCAACAAACTATGGCTGTAGCTCCTGAAAGCAGGTGCAGTAGAGGGAGGGAGGGAGAAGCTACACATGCCTCGCCCTCTAAGCTTAAGTTCCTCTATCCCTTAGGTATGCTTTTAGCATAGCCAGTACCCATAATTCTTCAAGTACAAAATCAGAATTTTTAAAAAGTCACTTTGCTTCTTTATTTTTCAACTAACAAGTTCAGTTAGTATTAATGGATAGAAAGTGTTAGATGGTTGTGGGGTCTGGAAATTTATCTAAACACTAACATATCCTCCCACATAAAATCAATCTTCTTTGAACAGAATACAGACCAAGCCCCCACCCACTTATAAGTAGAACCCTAACAGATTGAAATTAATAGGGTATTTGCAAAAAGAATGAAAAATGTAACCTAGTCTCTACGGTAACAGATCCAGAAACTAAAAAATGTCATATACGATTTCAGGAAAAAAAAAAAATACTTGCATCCTACTATCTGAATTAAATTCCCTTGTATCTCATGGATAACATCTCCATTTCACCATGACCATCAATGAAGAACTTACAAGAGCTAAATGTCCTAATTCTGTATCTTAAAATCACTGTTTCTATATTTTCAAAAAATGAGCTAAGAAAGCAAAAAGTGGAGCCCAAATCTAAAATGATAAGAAGATTTTAATTAGAACAGGGAATGGTAAAAGATTCCTAAGACCACCACATGGAATGAAAGGGAAAACAACAGAAAAGATGACTCCTGGTCCTCTCCCTCTCCCTGTAAAAACCCGAGGTCTACAGAACATAGAACTTTTCATTCATAGCACAAAACACTTAATGTAACATGGCAAATATCATCAGAACGAGTTGGCATAATGCTATCCAAATACTGAAATATTAAACTTGGGTTCTATGGGTTCCCAAGCGGCTCAGTCAGTTAAGCATCTGCCCTTTGGCTCACGTTATGATCCCAGGGTCCTGAGATGGGTCCAAGTTGGGCTCCCTGCTCAACTGGGAGTCTTTTCTCTCTCATTCTGCCTCGGAAATAAAATGTTAAAATAAAAATAAAGTGGGGTTCTACCCATGAAGATTTAAGTACTATAGGAACTGCCCTCCCCACCATAAACTACCACAACCCTGGAAAAATTATATGCATGCATAAAATATATATATAACCCTGGTTTTCAGGCACTGGACAACAGATACAGAGCACTGTAATCCCTGAGGGAAGACCAATAACAGAGTCTAGCCTTCTGATTGCCCCAGGTAACAGTTGGAGGCACTTTCCAGGCTGCAAAATAAGGAGAGGAAACCCAAAGAGCATCCAGAGGTTTCAATGAGTTGAGGAGACAGAGGTCAGAGCTTGGGAGCAGCAGGGAAGCCTAGAATATGCAGGGCTGAACATCAGAGAAGAGTGAATTGCATGGAAAGTTCAGAGATACACAGTGATGCTGAACTGATCCTTTGACTAAATAATGATACATGCACACACTGGGTAAAACTCCACCCTGCAGGTGGAAAAAACATGAAAAGGCAGTATCCCAAAAAATTCCCAGAGCTCTCACAGAGCTAAAAATAGTCCATGTTCCCACCAGCTGGAAAGAGAAACTTCAGAATATATAGAAGATTTGTTCTATGCATACTTCCAATCTTAAACTCAGAAGAGTTAAAAATGTGTGTTTAAGGCAATGAAAAATACAATGACTGTTCATGGTCTGGTGCCAGATGTTTTACCCACTGCTGATTCCGTACCATCAGTGCAATTGTCAACACAATCAAAAAGGTAAATATTATTATGAAATCGTTGCAACTTTGAAGGCCTCATAAAAAAGATCATGGATAAAACCACAGGTCTGCAAACCACACTCAACAATTCCTGTCCAACAGCAACCATTAAAAGTAACTAAGACAAACAGGTATCATTAGTAAGATATTAGTGGAGATAGTATGAAATACTAAAAAGTAATCAATTTCAAACAAGGCAGGAAAAAAACAAAAGGCACAAAGAATAGAAAGGATAAAGAGAAAAAAATAGCAAAATGGTAGAAAATTAACCCTGACCATACTAATAATTTTATTAAATGTAAAAGGCCTACATTTTCCAATTAACAGGCAGGTTCAAATTGGATTGGTGCCTATAAGAAATCCGTTTGTTTTTTTTTTAAGATTTTATTTATTTATTCATGAGACATACAGAGAGAGGGAAAGACACAAGCAGAGGGAGAAGCAGGCTCTCCGTGGAGAACCCAACATGAGACTCAATCCCAGGACCCCAGATCACGCTCTGAGCTGAAGGCAGACACTCTACCACTGAGTCACCCAGGTGTCCCAAGAAATCTGTTTGAATATAAAGACATAAATTGGTTATAAAAACTGAAAAGAGGGGATCCCTGGGTGGCTCAGCGGTTTGGCGCCTGCCTTCGGCCCAGGGTGTGATCCTGGAGTCCCGGGATCGAGTCCCACATCAGGCTTCCTGCATGGAGCCTGCTTCTCCCCTCTGCCTCTGTCTCTCATCAATAAATAAAATCTTAAAAAAAAAAAAAAAAAAACTGAAACGATACACCATGACAATACTAAAGAAAATTGGCTGGATTAGTATTTTAATATGAAAACAAAAAAAATAGTCTTCAAAAGAAGAAATGCTACTAGGGGAAAAAAGGAACAATTCATAACGATAAAAGAATTCACCAAGAGAACAATCTGAAATGTGTCTGCACCTAATAACAGAACTTTAAAATACATAAAGCAAAAATTAATAAAATCAAAGAAAGACCTAAGATAAACCCAGTTGTTAGTTTGGTACTTCAGCACTCCCAAGAAGAACCCCAAAATGGAAAAAAGCCAAATGCCCTTCAACTGTTACTGAATGAATAAATGACAGTATATGCATACAACAGTACTCTATTAACAAACAGGAACAAATACCTGATCTGTGCAAGAACAAAAATGAATCTCAAAAGCAGCATGCTAAGTTAAAGAAGCCAAACAGAAGATTTAGTATTGTACAATTCGACTTATACAAAGTTCCTCAAAAATACAAAATTAAAGTGACAAAATAGAACAGTCATTCCAAGAAAGCCAGAAGAACTTTTGAGGGTATTAGAAACATTTTGTACCTTGATGGTGGTAGTTACATGACTATTCAACATCTGCCAAACTAATTTGACTTGTAAAACTTAAATTTGGTGAATTTTGTTTTATGTAAACTATACCTTAAACTAATAGAAAATATGTAATTGAAACAGTAAACATATAGTGATTTACACATCAAGTTTTAGCCTCAAATATAACTGGTGATTAACTTTTTTTTAAGATTTTATGTATTCATGAGAGACACAGAGAGAGAGAGGGGCAGAGACACAGGCAAAGGGAGAAGCAGGCTCCATGCAGGGAGCCCAAAGCGGGACTCGATCCTGGGTCTCCAGGATCATGCCCTGGGCTGAAGGCTGCCTAAACCACTGAACCACCCGGGCTGCCGGGTGATTAACTTTTAGTAAAACAAACCTCATCCAAACAAAACAGAAGCATTTTTTCTTTGCTTAATAACATCTGTACAGAGAAACACTGCACTGCTGGGAACAAATACAAAAACAAAACAAAACCAAACCTCTGCCCCTGACTAGGGCAGGCAAAGTACAAGACAGGACTCAAACAACTTGTGCCAGAAAGTAAGGAAACGTTCAAGGGACGCAGTAAAGAGAACTCTCAGCCTGAAAAGATTCTCACGCTCAAATCTAAAAACAGTATTAGCAACAAAATAATAACCATTATGGATTATAACCCATTATATAACCACCCCTAAGTCCATATTAAAATTTAATGGACTGTCTAAACATATAAAAGGCAGACTAATAAAATGCAAATGCAATGATGACAGAATTAGAAAACAACCATTTTGCTGCAATCTTTGGAACAACTGAATCTAGCAAAAATCATCAGTGGACTCTAAAACTTTTAGGTAAAGTTGTATCTCCCCACAAATGTTTTACTAATTACAAAGAGAAAAATAACTCTATGGTGCAGAAACTTGGCAGGCACCACCTTAACCAAATTTTTTCAATAACATCATATTTGTATAAAACACAATCATAAGCATCCTGATGTGATGCTGCAGGTAAGCTACATCATCATTAACACACTGTATTCTATCAAAAAATGTACAACCTGGGGGCACCTGGGTGGCTCAGATTCTTCATCTTAAAAGTAATGAGTTTGAGCCCCACATTGAGTGTAGAGATTACTTAAACTTAAAAAAAAAGTACAACCTGAACTTCACCAATGACAATTAACTTTAATGTGCAGTCCCAAATTGAGATCCACATCAGGGGAGAACAATAAAAGCTTTAACAGGCATTAGAAGAACAGACAACATTTGATTGCAGACTATAGATTTCATAACAGTATTACATCAGTGTTAAATGCCCTATTTGGTAACTATTTATGGTTACATAAGAGAATACCTTTGTTCTTAGAAAATACATATTGAAGTTATCTAGGGATAAATGAACACACATGCAGTCCAGAACTTAGGTGCTTAAAAATAATTGTATGTATCTAGAGATAGAATGACAAAACAAATATTGCAAACTATTACTGGTGATCTAGAAGTTCGTGAGTTCTGTATATTTTACATTTTTCAAATAAAAATTTAAAAAAAAAAAAAACTTTACACTTACTTGTTGCCACATAGCCTAGCTGTGGAACCAAATGTTCATCTGCAGAATTTTCTCGGCCTGGTACTAATCTCTGATACTTAGTTGGATGAGGATTTCCATCTACATCTACCAAGAATGGTGGAGGCATAAGGTGAGGAGCCTGCTGAGTTTGCTCATCTAAGACATAATTATTAGAATCTCTAATCAGTGGTCGATAGTCAGTATGGAAGAACATCTGATCAGGAATCTGAAAAAAGTTTACAGATAGACATTTTGAGGTTTATAAAGGTTAAAGAATACAAATATTAAGTAGCTATGTATAATTTGAAAAAGAAACTAATTCAATACACCTAACATATTTTCAAAACATCTTTTTTCCCCAAAACATCCTTAATAACTACTTATAAATAACTACTTAAAAAACATTATAAAAAAGTATTAAGAATAACCTTTTACAGACAAACCAAAAAACAAACTTTTAATATAAAAAATAGATGGTTACCAGAGGGGAGGTGGGCAGGGAGATGGGTGAAATAGGTGAATGGAATTAAGAGTACATTTCTCTTGACGAGCACTGAGTAATATACAGAATTGTAGAATCACTATATTGTACACATGAGGCTAACATAACACTGTATGTTAACTACACTAGAATTACAATTTTTTTGAAGTGGTTAAAATATTACAAAAGAAAAAAAAAAGACCTTTTCATATGGCTTGCTGCATCCAAAACCAAATATCAGAAGGTGTCCATGAGAATCTGTACAGGCAAAATGCTGTCCATCCTGTGAAAACTTACAGTCAAAGACAGCTCCATGTCCTTGCCCTTCAATCTAGGAAACACAGAGGAAAAAAGTTATAACCAATTCTACACAAGTGCGTTTGCTTTATCAACCGTTTTCATGTCAATTACCTGCTACAGGTACGTCACTTTTTTTTTTCCCAAGATGTTCAATGCGGGGCTTGATAGCTAGTCTAAGAATGATTTCTCAAAATCATAGGATGAAAGATCATAAGCCAATACAAAGTAAAGTCTTCCTTTACTTCTTAGAAATGAATGACAATTTCATAAACAAGATAAATGACTCAAGATCAACAAAGTGTGGTATTCGTGAACGAAAATCAGTACTTTTCTAGAATTTAAACTTTCCACTAAGATGACTGACCACCATGCAAAAGTAGGAATGCTGCCAAGTCACAAGAGAGCACATGGAAATGCCTACACCTACCTTATTTCAAGCTACCACAGGTTTAGGAAGGATGCTCCAATTACAGCATGAATGTTGCCTTAATAGACTGCTTTTCAACTTTTATTCTTGCTCTTCAACTGAAATTACATTAGTTTAGCACTACCAATTTATAGATAAATGAATTGTTTCATTAACAGCTTGTTGTCTAAGCCTGTAACTCTCCAATAACTGAACTTTAGGGCAAGTCTGATCAGTGATGGAAAATCAATCACCCAACTCACTAACTGCCAAAACAAACTCACCCCATGCCCAAATATTGCTTAAAAATCAACAATCCACTACCACTATACCACACATAAATGTGTACTGATTAACAAACATAAAAATTTAGGGATCCCTGGGTGGCGCAGCGGTTTGGCGCCTGCCTTTGGCCCAGGGCACGATCCTGGAGACCCCGGCTCGAATCCCATGTCGGGCTTCCGGTGCATGGAGCCTGCTTCTCCCTCTGCCTGTGTCTCTGCCTCTCTCTCTTTCTGTGTGTGTGTGACTATCATAAATAAATAAAAATTAAAAAAAAAAAAACAAACATAAAAATTTAGTTACTGGGATAATTAAGGCACTACCCTATTCCACGTACACATAATATGTATACAAATTTGGGTTCTCTCATAACATAAAAAGGAATAAACGGAATTAATAATTTTCTTACAATTTTTTGTTAAAACAAAGGAACACCAATTCACCCACACAGTCCTTTGAGACGCCACCTTCACTACAACCCTACTACCCTACTTGTACCCTGGCACCACTTCACACCCCTGGCCTGGAACCTCCAGTCCAGGTAAAGTAGAGGCAACTGCCCTTCTCTGGCAAGTCAAAGATGGTGGCAGCTAATCTCCTGTCATACATGTGCACCTAAGTGCACCAAAAGTTCTGCTAAGGTACCTGCAGAGAAGGAAGTTTTCCTGAGTAGGCTCTTGCAGAGCAAGCCAGACTTGGGTTTCTCCCTATAAAGAGTCCTCCACAGTGATTCCTGACAAAATGCAATGTACAACTGTGCTTGTGCAACAATTCAATGTCACACTGAAGGTTATTATGTATTTAATATAATAACATAATGGTGGTAATTTATAACCCTATGTAAATCTGTCTAACAGAAAATTGGGAGTCTCTCAGCTGAGCCATAAAGGTAAGAAGAACTCAGTCCAGGTGCCTGTGTGGCACATCCAACTCCTGATTTCAGCTCAGGTCATGACCTCAGGGTCATGAGATCGAACCTTACATCAAGCCTCACATGTGGCTCTGCATTCAGTGGGAATCTGCTTAAAAGTTCTCCTTCTCTCTCTTCCCCTTGCCTCTGCTCACATGCTCTCTCAAATAAATTTCAAAATCTTTTTTAAAAATAAAAGAAGTTGGGGGATCCCTGGGTGGCGCAGCGGTTTGGCGCCTGCCTTTGGCCCAGGGCACGATCCTGGAGACCCGGGATCAAATCCCACGTCGGGCTCCCGGTGCATGGAGCCTGCTTCTCCCTCTGCCTGTGTCTCTGCCTCTCTCTCTCTCTCTCTGTGTGTGGCTATCATAAAAATAATAAAATAAAAATTAAAAAAAAAAAAAATAAAAGAAGTTGAAAAAGAACCCAGTATATGCAGCAAAGTTTGTATGTCTCACTGGAAGCAAGATCATCATTGTACACTTGAATCTGCTTTGGCTCAGAAGTTGTTTAGGTTATATTCTTTTGAAAGCCTGAATTAATGTAGTTTTCTATTTTGATAAGTTAAATTGAGGATGTAATGTTCTTAAAGAGTTTTAAAGAATAAAAAAATGGAGATACCTATAAAATTTAAAACCATAGAAAAATTGCTGAAAAAGACTTATTTTTCCAATAATTTAAACCCAGAGATGCAACTTTCTGAGATGCATAATTACACATGTGCAATTAAGCAATGTTTTTTGAGTTATTTTAGTGCATTTTATGGTAATAAATACTGCATTTTGAACTGTTTGTCAAGAATTGTCCAAAATAAGCATGCTGCAATAAAAAATTTAAGGTTAAAAAAAAAAAAGAAACATGGAACACATGGACTCAGAGAGCCTTCATTCAAAGGTCTAAGAACCACTCATCTCTACACCCTACTATTAGACTTCCTCTAAAATGAATTACACTTTGAACTGGAACAAAATAAACTTTACAGTAATTTTACAAAACATCTCATATGTATATCAAGCAATAGTCTTGACAACACAAAAACTCTTTTATACAGTAACTCCCCTCAGAATTTAACTTAAGGAAATAATCACAGACCTACATAGATAGCCATCCATGTACCTGGATATTCAAAGTGATGTCACTGTGCATACTTCAGAAATCATTTAAACACTCAACAGTAGGTTAACCATATAACCTGAGAAAGGGTGAATTTTCAGTCAAAAATGTAATTGCAATTTTTTAAAAATATATTTCAGATTCTGGAAAATATTCTTCACATAAAATGAAAAAAAGATTACAAAACTGTGTGAGAATGCCAATAATAAATATGGAAAGAATGATGCCATTAAAAATCTTCAGTGGATACTGTGAAAGTTGAATGAGGAATAGGACATTTACAGAGCTCAAAATACCTCATGAAAAAATTAATAGTTACAAAGAGGGGGGAAAAAAGTTACAAAGAGGAAAAACAACTATTTTATTTTGAGGAAACCTGGCAAATACCACCTTACCAAATATTTAAATTTATCACCATCAGGGCACCCTGGGTGGCTCAGTCAGTTAAGTGTTCGACTCTTGATTTCAGCTCAGATCATGATGTCATGTAGACCCAGCCCCGAGTCTGGCTCTGCACTGGGCATGGAGCCAGACTGAGATTCTCTTTCTCTCTGGCCCTCCCCACCCTACTCTCACTCTCTAAAAATAAGTAGTTATAAAAAATTAAAATAATCAGCAGCAAAAAAAGGTGTAACAATCAAATCATGAAAAAAAAGCAGACAAAAAAAAAAACAGCAGACAAAATAGATATTTATTCTGTAACATTATTTGTCTGCACTCCTCAAAAAAGTTAGAAGGTGAGAAATAGAAAAAAAAGGATTGCTGAAGATTAAAGAAACCTAGAAATATAAAGTCAACGAATATAATGCTTGATCCTTAATTAAATACTGCTCAAAGGGCCAAATATAACTAAAAGGATATTACGAGAACAATTGACAGAATTTAAATATAAAGCTGGATAATATAATGCTATTTTAACAATGTTAAATTTGCTGATTTTGGTGACAAGCTTGTGATTATATATGAGAAATTTTTTAAAATATGCAATAGGATCCTAATTCGGTTCTAGAGTATTACATGTGTTTGGCTGGAAAAACCCAATGATGTTTTTGATTCCCAGACGATTTTACTCAAGATTGTTTTATTACCAAATATTTCAATAAATTTAGTGAAAATATGTATAATAACCATGATTTTGCTAATTTAAACAAATTCAAACACATTCACATACATACAGAGGGCTAAATAAATCACTTGAAATTCCTTCCCTAGTGTGACTCAGTTACAGAGAGAATTTCATGAGTATCTATACATGTATGTCTGGCAGATATTTATTAGGCCTCACGTATCCTGATTCCTATATAAACTGCCAGTTTCTGGCTAAACTTCATAATCCGAATACTTGAAACCAATGCAAGCATACATTAAGATACACTTCACTTACCATATTAAAATAATGTTTCACCTTGGTGCCTTTTGTAATATCCCATATAAATATGCTGCCATCATGTCCTGCAGATAACATAATTCTGGAATCAAAGGGATGTGTCTCCAAAACAAATACTTCATCAGCATGTCCCTTTATTCAACAAAGTCATATAGTTAAAGAGGGTTTGCAAGCCATTAAGTTTGAAATTAAAAACCCATATTGTCATAACGTGTAAGGACTTTTAAAAATATACTAATGAAAGTGATTTGAACATTAGTGTATCTATAAATTTCTACTCATTTGATAATCAGTGGACAAAACTTTTAACGTATTATTTTATAGCTTCAAAAATCAAATTATAGTTCCAAAAAAAATCTTGATTTGTTACATTATATAAAAACCAAAAAAAAAAAAAAAAAAAAAAACCTACCAATAAGTTATGAAGCAGTTGTCCTGTGTAAGAATTCCACACTTTAAGGACATGATCATTCACAGCTGTGACAACAATGCTATCATTCTGATTCCAAGCAATCATTGTGACTTTGGGTTTCATAAACCTTTCCTCTTCCAAAGATAAGTCCCTAAGGAAAACATACACAATGTGTAAATTCATTTGAAAAGTACAATCAGTACAAAAATAACTGAAGTGATCCAGTTCATGTCCATACATGATCATATATCTAATGTACATCTGACCCATAACAGATATCTATGAACAGATTATGACAAAACTGGGACGAGAAGGGGATGATTAAGAAACAGTTCAGGGGCACCTGGGTGGCTCAGCTGGTTAAGTATCTGGCTGTTGATTTTGGCTCAGGTCATAATCTCAGGGTCCTGGGATCAAGCACCATGTCAAGCTCTGCACTGAACATGGAGTCTGCTCGAGATGCTATCTGCCCCCGCCCCCCACCCCTTCTTCTCCTGCTTGTATCTAAATAAGTAAAATCTTAAAAAAAAAAAAAAAAAAAAAAGGAAAGGAAAGGAAAGGAAAGGGAAAACACTATTCAGTCTAAATGAAAGCAGATGTTAGGACACCACTACTGATCATAAAAGCAAAGCTTTTTCTCTCTACTCCTTTTCTATTATTCCCTTCTCCTGACCCCAAGCCCTAAGAACAATAATTTTGGTATCTCTCTCTCCAGAGAAGATGACAAGAAAATTTTAGGACAACAGAAAGAAGGTAATGCATTTTCACATCTCCAATGTCTAGAAAAGTGCCTAGCACACAGATATTCAATCTGTTGAACTATAAATAAAACTGTACTCATCTCTTTACACTTCCCTATAGATGGTTACTATGGGTCTCTTGGCAAGAATGGCCTTGAATTCAAATGTCTGCAATATTCTGCAGCCTTAATTAACAAGATAGGGAAAGTATCTCTGTAAAATAGTAACACACAGAGAGAAGGTAAAACCTAGCTGCTTTTGCAGTCAGATAATACATCTTAAGAAATTAAAAACATATAATAAACACCTATTTTAATTAAGGAAAACAGCTGTAAGAATATGGAATAAGTGCCATGTAATACCTATCTATATAAGCCCAATGGAACACCGACAAGAGAATAATTCTAACCAGACTGGTCAGGGAAAAGCATAACAAAAGAGGCAAAAAGAGTAAAGGCTAAGCCTCCATGCTTCCCTTTAAACTAAAAATCTGTGTAATAACCTTGAAGCAATAGACATACTACATTTCATCAAGTTGATCACTCAAGATTAGAACCCTAAAACAAATACACCCATCAATTCTTACATACAGAAAACTGTGGTTCTCAAGATTAGAAAGATGTAGAATTTTAAATGAGAAAAGAATATTCCCATCATTGGGGGAAATTACAGGCAGAGCACGCTCCATGGCAGCAAGAAAACTGAGCAGTTTCCAGTCTCATTAAAAATTTTTGTATTTGGACACCTGGGTGGGGTGGCTCAGCAGTTGAGCGTCTGCCTTTGGCTCAGGGCGTAATCCCAGTTCAGGGATCAAGTCCCACGTCAGGTTCCCTGTAAGGAGTCTGCTTCTCCCTCCACCTGTGTCTCTGCCTCTATGTCTCTCATGAATAAATAAATAAAATCTTTAAAAGAATTTTTTTTGTACTGAAGTTGTTACAATGATGTTCCTATTTTGCTTAATAATTGTTCACAGGTAAATGTGAGATTTCAAATTATTCTAATGAAAACAACCTTTATTATTATAACCAATCAAGGACTGAGAGTATTCACTCTTACATTGATATGGTTTTGAATATCCAGACAGAACATTTTCAAGTAATCGTAGAGATGATTTGTTTGTGAGCAAGGATTATCTGATTTCCAGTATACACTCTTCTCTCACTTCCCTAACCACAGATCATTTCACAAAAATGTGCAGATCAAATTTATTTTAAAACCAAATAAAGCTCTTTGAGTCACAGCAGAGAATAGGAGTTAATTTCCCCTACAATTATTAAAAATAAACTAGACATGTGGATTTCCAAACAACTGAATGTGAAACATTTCTTAGAAAAAACTGTTAAGAGCTTTGATATGACACTACTCTAGACAGGCAGTAAGGAAAAATTCCTAGGGATATGAGATTTATGTATCTATGTATCAGATATGCAGGAAGTAGCCATTCATTTAGATCACTGCTCTTCATAATAGAAGGTGGCTCCAATCCCCTGACAAAGCAGTCAACCAAGAGAAGGACCAAGTAATTATTATGCACCTGCTTCAACAAACCATCTCCACTTACCCTGAGACTCTGGTTGCCATATCCAATAAAATGCTTCTCCATTCCAACTGCTCAAATCTCCAAATTCTTGCTGTTCCATCTCTGCTACCACTTAAGAACCTTAAAAAATTTCAGAGAAAGATCTTATACTCATGTACAGGACACCAAGAACTACAGTTAAAATCACAAGCAAAAGCATTTCTCATGTAGCTATCTTGACTGCCAGTAAATGTAGCTATCTTGACTGCCAGGTGCTAATTCAAAAGACAGGGATTTAGAACAAATCTGAATGGGAAAAAAATCTGGTTTGCTCTCATTTGCCTGGCCCTATGGAGTTAAAGCACATTTCAAACTCAATCGACAGCTTATCAAACAAATTGAGTTTTGAGAAGACAATGTACAAGTAGTATCTGGAGGGGAAAAAAAAATAGGAAGGATCAAAGATGTGCAGGAAGATCAGTTAGAGCAAAAACTCCATTGTAAGCTGCTTCAACTTAAACTAATTCATGCTGGCCACCATGTAAAAATAAATCCATCTTTTAACAAAGGAAAACGTTAAAAACTGCAGTTTAGGAGGGTATTATGCTGAGTGAAATAAGTCAATCAGAGAAGGACAAACATTATATGGTCTCATTCATTTGGGGAATATAAAAAATAGTGAAAGGGAATAAAGGGGAAAGGAGAAAAAATGAGTGGGAAATATCAGAAAGGGAGACAGAACATGAGAGACTCCTAACTCTGGGAAACAAATGAGGGGTGGTGGAAGGGGAAGTGGGCAGGGGGTGGGGGTGACTGGGTGACGGGCACTGATAGGGGCACTTGATGGGATGAGCACTGGGTGTTATTCTATGTGTTGGCAAACTGAACACCAATAAAAAATAAATTTATTTTTTAAAAAAATGCAGTTTAGGAAAGGCACCTGAAACTAGGGACCAGGAGGGAGTAATTAAGTGACAATTTTGTTGCATGACCCATCACAGTGGTTGATTAGAAGAGATTTTTTCTTTTAATTATTCTAACATTAGGAATTTCATCATCTTTACACCTAATAGAGGAGCTCCTTTGGGTCACAGGAGCCAGTGGAAGCTACAATTCTAAAAACCTATGTGCTTCATGTATTTCCCTCCCTGCTACAGACGCATTCATACAGTTAAACACTTAGCACTAACTGCCTGCAATATACAAAGTGATGTATCAGCTGCACTAATATGAAGCACAGTGTATTTGCCTAAAAACACACTCACAGACACACTTACCGATCACCATTGTTACAAAATTGGATACTATCAACTTTATCCTAAAAGGGGACAAAAAACAAACACAAAAGTGATCACACTCTTGTTCGTAAATAAAACAACAAAAAGAAAACATTTTAGAACTAGAAGCACATTTCGTTTAAAACAAGAATGCATACTCGTGTTGAGCCCCTTTGCTCACATGTGTATCCTACATTAAGAGCAAAAAAACCAAGGACCCCAACGAGACTATAAGGAAACCCTCCTTCTAAATTTACAACTATACTTACAATGAATTAGATCTGTAGGAGAATTCAAATGTGGAAAGTGATGAAAACAAAGCAGCTGAAAACAAGGCATCACTTTGATGACTGATTAGGTATAGAAAATTTTTTTTTCTTTTAAAGTGATCTGGATCTGTTTATCAAAGAACTTCATAGAACTTCCTATAGGAAAAATGATGACCTGACCACTGACCAGAAATCCTGAGTTATCTATCTTACTATACATTAATAAAACAACATTCTGATTTCATGAGCATGATTAAGGGGAATAGGCCCCTTGAAACTAAACCCACCCAGATAAACTGTCATAATCAAGACTTTCGACAGTAAGGCTGAAATAACCACCAAATATTAGCACAGTCACATACTTAGTTGTCAATAATATCCTTACTTTTTTTTTTTTTTTTTTTTTATGATAGTCACACACACAGAGAGAGAGAGGCAGAGACACAGGCAGAGGGAGAAGCAGGCTCCATGCACTGGGAGCCCGACGTGGAATCCCACGTCGGGCTCCAATCCCAGGTCTCCAGGATCGCGCCCTGGGCCAAAGGCAGGCACTAAACCGCTGCGCCACCCAGGGATCCCAATATCCTTACCTTTATATGCAATCCCTCCTACATTTAAAATCAGAACAGTAACAATTTTGTTAGCGATATTTAACTATGTACCAATACGAATCTGCAGAATTATATAACATAAATACTTACAGTGTGGCTTTCAAGTTCTGCAATTTTTTCAGGTGCTTCAAAACCCAAAAAATACATTCTGATAACATGATCAGTACTACCTGTGGCTAAAAACATACCACCTGAAATAAAAAATGTTAAGATTTAAAAACTCAGTTTGTTAACCAATATCCAAACAAACCAAATTTCTATGTCAACTTAATAAGCAAGATCTCTTATCCCAAAACTAAGTTTATCTCAAAAGATCCACTTTCTAACTCATTGTATAAAGAAAGACCTTTTAAAATAAATATAATGCAAAGTGGTGTTGTAATTTACAATAAAAAATATATGTATTTGGTCTTCATCCCTGTTTGGCACAGAGCTCCTAAAACCCTTGGGACTTCCTAAACAACAATACTGATCCAAGTATCTTGATATTCATCACAAATCCACTTTGCCCAAACCAGAGTTTATATTAATGAAGTGACTCTTGGAGAGTGCACCTAAGAATGGGAATGCTGACTGCCAGAAGTACCAACCACGTGATCAGAAGATTGGCACTTTCTGTCCAGCTCCCCTGACCTCTGGAGGGAAAAGGGGAGGGGAATCAATCACCAGTGACTTAATCAACTGTTGCTATGTAACAAGAGCCTCCATAAAAACCTTAAAGGACAGGGTTCACAAAGCTTCCAAGTTGGTGAACCTGGAAAGATTTGGAAAGAGAAGCATGCCTAGAGAACGCCCATACACTTTAACATCCGTGTGGCTGTTATTCAATGATATACTTTTATAATAAGCTGGAAATCTAGTAAAATGTTTAAGTTCTGTTGAGCTGTTCTAGCAAAATAATCAAATCCACAACGGAGGTTGTAGGGACCTCTGATCTTTAGCCAGGCAGTCAGAACCCCGGTTGACAACCTGGTCTGAAGGGGGGAAATGGGATCTTTTAGGACTTAGCCCTTAACCTGTGGGATCTCACGGTGTTCTCTAGGTAGATATCAGAATAGAAATGAATGGCAGGACACCCTGCCAGTGCTGGAGAACTGTTTGATGGTGTTGGGGGAAAAAAAAAAAAAAACAGTACAAAAAAAACAAAAAAACAAAAAAAACATACATACATCAGATGGGACTTTAATTAAAAAAATATTCTATCTGGACATGTTCACTACTATCTCCTACTACTTTATTAATTGTGGCAACCATATGTTCTGCTACTCTAAAGATGTTTGACAAAAGGGGCTCTGCTTTCTAAACTTTCATATACTTACACCTAGCTTCAGAATACAAAATTGACTTATTCAAGTTTTCAGGCTTTTATGGGAGAAAGTCTTGGACTTCTCCTAAAAAAGATTACAAGTTCACTATACAAAAAAAGAAAATGTACAATAATTTCACAAAAATGAGTGGGAAACAAACTTAAACTATAAAAATCTGCAGTTCAGCCTGTTCAAGAAAACCACAGTTTTGGTATATCTCACACAGGGGACCCATTGGGACACCTTAAGCCTCCTTTCACCAGCTGACTCTGTTTACCATTAAAATCAAAGAATGGTAGCATGGGGGAGTAAAAGACAAGGAAAAAACTAAATAAACATCTTGGATTAAACCTAATGAAATGGGCATAAGTCATCTCCATCCATCTGATAAACACTGTTAGCAATAATGCAGTCATTCAACAAATGCTACATAAAACTAAGAAAAAAAATTACTAAAGTTATCTTACCAACACTAAAAGAAGAACAAAGCATCTGAACACCTGGTCTAGGCTTTTCAGTGAACTTCAGGGGACGTGGGCTTTAAAAGAAGAAGATGTCATTTTATAACTCATTTGTTCCACACTAACAGAGTTTACAATGTTGGTTTTTTTTTTTTTTTTTAATGTTTATTTATTTATGATAGTCACACACACACACAGAGAGAGAGAGAGGCAGAGACACAGGCAGAGGGAGAAACAGGCTCCATGCACCGGGAGCCCGACGTGGGACTCGATCCGGGGTCTCCAGGATCGCGCCCCGGGCCAAAGGCAGGCGCCAAACTGCTGCGCCACCCAGGGATCCCTACAATGTTGGTTTTAATCTAGCATATTTAACTATTTTTTATAAAGTACCTTATTATACCTTATAAAGTACCTTATTAAAGTACCTTATTTATAAAGTACCCCACAAGTATTTGTGCATATGGTATTATAGCTGGATGGACTCTGGAAGGCACTGTCCAATCTGTGTGTCCACAAGACTCCTATCCCACAGCCGGAACGGACCTACTGACCCCCATATCTTGTTACTGAGGAGACTAAAGCTCATGCAAGTAAATCTGCCATCCAGGCTCGAGGACGGGGTACACAACCACCAGGGAACAGCACTACTCAGCAGAAACAATGCGAGCCACACATGTAACCTCAAATTTTTATAGTAGCCACATTAAATGTAAAAAGATAAAATCAGTTTTATTTCATTTAAGCTAATATATCCAAAATACCACATAAAAATAAAATATTGAGAACTTTAGATTCTTTTCATATTATATCTTTGAAATCTTCCAGAATAGAATATATAAGATACATACTACATTTCAATTTGAACAGTTTTCATCAAAGATACTTGATCTGTATTCAGGTTCCATAAAACTCACAGTTGAAAAACTAAATTCAACACAGTCAAGTTATATGCAACATGCTTAACGGTTTTGTGATACCTGAATCAAGTATCAGTTTAAGATGAAACTAATAATTCAGTTCCTCAACTATACTACCCATACCTGAAGTGCAGTTCCTCAACTGTACTACCCCCAGTACAGTGCTCAACCGTCACACAGAGCTGGGGGGTACCATTCTGGACAGCACAGATCTATAACCGGTCTTCTGATTCTTAAGGAATCCTGCCTAAATTTTTGAGTATGCATCTAATTATACATTTCTAACATTTTTTAAAATGTTTCACATACATACAATCTTATTTTTCCACAAAATGTACACACTAAGAATTGCTATGCTTCTTTTACATACCCCTCTAAATAGTACATTGTAGGGGCTCCTGGGTAGCACAGTTGGTTAAACATCCAACTCTTCATTTCAGCTCAGGTCATGATCTCAAGGTTGTGAAATCAAGCCCCAAGTTGGGCTTGGCACTAAGCAGGGAGTCTGGTTGAGATTCTCTCTCTCCTTCTCCCTTTGCCCCTCCCCCTGTACATTCTCTCTCTAAAATACATAAATCTTTAAAAATAAATATATTATAAACAGTGAATAAAACATTAATCCTTTATATACACTAAAAAAGTAAAAAGGCAACTACTATACCAAACTTCCCTTTATAATCAGATTTCATCTCATTAGACTAAATTAAACATTAAAGAAAGAAAACTTATCACACAATTACAGCCACTTACCTGAATTTCAGGGATTCTAAATCCCACTGCCAGAAACAAACTGTCCCATCAGCACCAGTAGAGACCATGTATCTTTGGGAGCCTTTGGCCATTGGGCTAAACTAAAAAGCAATAACACAGACAATTCAGGTTCCTGAGCTTCTACTTAAGTCGTAGTTTAATGGTTTTTCAAAGTTAATTTCAACTGACACAAGTAAAACATAAGAATTACAAAATACAAATGACTGAATTATACTGGAAAATCATAATCCTTAGTCTATCTCTAATTTATATATGTAATGTGATCTCAATAAAAGATTACTTTCAAAACTAATAAACAAGAATAGCCAGAAAAACTTTTACAAAAATAAAGTGAAGACCTGGTCGGTCCTATTAAAATGAAAGCTGTCACAAAACCTCAATAATTAAAATTATAGGACATGGTAGGTACACTAATACAGTGACCAATGGAAAAATAAATCATAAAGTCCAAAATAGACTTTAATGTGAGAGTTAAGATAAAGGTGCCATCTCATATCGGTTGGGGAAGCAACGGATCACTACATAAATGCTTTACCAACTATGCAGCAATCTGGAAGCTATTCTTCAGACTGTACACCAGGATAAATTTCAAGTGCATCAACAATTAAAGTATTTTAAAAAGAAAACTATAAAAGTATTCTAAGAAAACACAAGAATTAAACTGTAACTTCAGAAGGGCTATGTTCAACTGTGTTACACAAGCTAAACAGAAGGCCAATTTGGACCAGAATCTAACAGGACTTAAAGGATGGAGAGAAAAATACAAAGAAAACAAGAAAACAAACTAGGCAAAAGAATATGAACAAAAGTACCAAAGTGAGAGGGAATATGGTATATGGTATCAACAGAAATATCTAGATGACTCAAGTGCTCATTTTTGCAAGTGGTGGAGGAATGGGTTAAATGGGTAGAGAGCAAGAAGTAACTGCAGTTCTCAACTAAACCCTAAATGTGTCGGTCACACAGCAGTATACAATAGTTAGTGAAAGGAAACAGATAAGAACAATAACTAAAAATCCATCCAGTTAATCTAAAAACCTTAACTGGAAGGAAGTAGTCCCTTCCTTCCCCCAGAATGGGGAGGAAAGCTATGAGCAACACCACAACTCTTTGACTCATAAGGCATTCAAGACAAAGGAGCTCAGCAAACAAAGACCAGTGCCACTAACAGAAAGGAAAGAGCTGAGAAGAAATTTTTTCAGGTTATTTACATAATTATTTATCATTAAAACGTCCCAGAGAGATATAGTTTATTATCTGTTTTATGACTTTTTCCCAAGATTATACACTCTGAAAGGGAGGTAGGATTTGAACCTAATACTTCTTCAAAGAAGCTTCTTCCAGGTTCCTTCATCTCAAGCCCAGGAAAAAAGGGGCTTTTTTTTCCAACATGTTAACAGTGATCTTTTACATCTAAGCAGATATGTTCCAGAATACAGACTAAAACTGAGTTTTGGAGAATATCCCATTAAAAGCAGTAAGTGAAGGTATATGAAGAATCAAATATTCTCTTTAATTAAAACATCACAGTAAAATTTATAAATTTGCATAGAATACTTTAAGAATTCTAAACCTGAATTTCTACAGAAGAGTAACCACTTTAAGTCACCTATGTTCTAACTAAATCCAATTCTTAGATATAAGTGGTGCTGCTCTCTATTTTGTCCCTAGCTCAACACCATACTGTTTTCTCTGTAACACCTCTAAAGTATTATTAAGTATCTAGCATGGCAAAAGCTATGAGGCTTGTTTTGTTTAGGATGGGGGTGCGGGAGATTTGTGCTTATTTTCTTCTAAGTGAACTTAATGGCATGCTAAAGTCCATTAAAACAAAGCACCTGAAATTTCAAACATAGACACACTAACTTTATACCAAGATTTGGAGAGATATAATATCTTTACAGCTCTGAATCTTCTGATTCTGGAGTATACTAGACATTTTCAGGTTCTATCATTATTTCTATGACCTTTCTTCATATGACTTTTCCCATTTCCCAGTGTGTTTGAAGGCTTCCGTTGCTATTATGGATTATGTTCTTCTTAGTCCATTATATTTGCTAATCAATTATTGGTGGTTTATAGTTAAGTTCTGGTTTAAGACATATGTCCAGGCAGCCCGGGTGGCTCAGCGGTTTAGCGCCGCCTTCAGCCCATGGTGTGTGATCCTGGAGAGCTGGGATCAAGTCCCATGTCGGGCTCCCTGCATGGAGCCTGCTTCTCCCTTTGCCTATATCTCTGCCTCACTCTCTGTGTCTCTCATGAATAAATAAAATCTTTAAAAAAAAAAAAAAGACATAGGTCCTGTATTTATCCAGTTTACTAAGATCTCGGCAGTTCTAGTAAGTTTAATAGAATTCACAAGTGAGACCTCCGAGCTTGAGTTTTTTTTTTTTTTTTTTTTTTTTTTTGGCATCCAACAGGCATTTCTAACCTTTCAAGCGTTCCCTCTACTGTTTCTAAGTAGCAACATTCCTCAAATGCAGTGTCACTGACAGCCAGCCATGTTTCATTAATCATCCTCAAAGCTACTTATCAGTAACCATAATCTGTATTTCTGGATATTAAAATATGAGTCTCACTTTTCCAAGATGGGTTAGGAAAGTCCTGCATAAAGGAAACAGTAAGAAGTATATTTTCTCAAAGTCCCTGGTGGCTTTATGATTCTGTACTACAAGCTCACATAGCTACTTCCAAAGTCAAAATAGTTTTCTTGAAATCTACACATTTTGAGTAACTGTTCAGTATATAACATATGCCTGGGAGCATAATAATTTCTACTTTTATAACTTGTTTGCTGGCAAAACAAGGAGTTTCTAATGTATGCTATCCTCTATTTTTGCTATTAAAGAATACATTATTCAAAGACAGCTGCCTGGGCAGCCCAGGTGGCTCAGCGGTTTAGCGCCGCCTTCAGTCCTGGGCGAGATCCTGGAGTCCCAAGATCCAGGCCCACGTCGGGCTCCCTGCATGGAGCCTGCTTCTCCCTCTGCCTTTGTCTCTGCCTCTCTTTCTCTGTATCTCTCATGAGTAAACAAGTAAAATCTTTTAAAAAAACAAAAAAAGACAGCTGCCCTATTAACTGCTAAAATGCATTTAGCAATCTTTCCTGTGTGCTTATTACATGTGCATTCTAGACAGCGGGGGGGGGGGGTGGAATTTGTATAATATAAAACTCATCATTTCAGCTATTTTAAAATGTACAATTCACAGGGCACCTGGGTGGCTCAGCTGGTTAAGCATCTGACTTGATTTCAGGTCAAGTCATGATCTCAGTGTCATGAGATGGAGCCACACGTCAGGCTCTGTACGGAGCATGGAGTCTGCTTAAGATTCCCTATCCGCAGGATGCCTAGATGGCTCAGCAGGTAGGTGTCTGCCTTTGGCTCAGGGATTGATTTCTGTCCCAAGATCAAGTCCCACATCAGGCTCCCTGTGAGGAGCCTGCTTTTCCCTCTGTGTCTCTACTTCTGTGTCTCTCATGAATAAATAAAATCTTTAAAAAAAAAAAAAGTAAAAAAAAAAAAAAAAGATTCTCTCTCCTGTTTCCTTCTGCCCTTCTCATTCTCTCTCCCCTTCTCTCCAAAAATAAATAAATAAATAACATGTACAATTCAGCTGCATTTAGCACATTTACATGCAGTGCAGCCACTGCCACTATCTGGTCCCCGAGTTACTATTTTAGAAGAAAAACTGTTAAACTGTCCAAGTATTTTCAATGGATTCCCATGGCTTTTTAAAGTATATCACACATGTAATATGGTGTCACACCTGTTTCTTGGCATAAACGGACAGACATGAACCACATGGACCTGAATCATGACACTTCAGCCCTAAGAGCCTTACCATGAGTCTCCTAAGAACAGTCACTTTCTACTCCTGAACTATAACAAGCTTGTCAACACTCAAGATATTTAGTATCAATATAATACTAGTATATAATACATAGTTCATAATGAAATTTCTCCTAATTTCTCAAATTTGCTTTATAGGTTTTCTTCACTCCTAAAGCCAGGGCAAAAATCAAGGCTCTCACATTGCATTTATACTTCTACCATTTTCTTAGTTACCTTATAACATTTTCTTTTTGCCTTTCTTGAAACTAAAGTTTTGAAGGATATGAGACTTATTTCACAGTTTCTTAATTTGAATTTATCTGACATGCTTCCTCATGAGATTCAAGTTAAAATTTTTTTACAGAAATACTGATAGGTGGATAAAAAAATTTAACCACACAGCTTTATAATTATATAGATCTATTCAGATTTTCCTTTCTGTGGCAGTCTTGAAAGGGTTTTGAATATTTACCTGTAGCATCTTAATTTTCAAATTTCCTATATAGCCATCTAAAATATCCTCTTTTTAGGAATGCCTGGTTGGCTCAGTCTTTTTTTTTTTTAAGATCTCATTCATTCATTCATTCATTCATTCATGAGACACACAGAGAAAGAGAGGCAAAGGTATAGGCAGAGGGAGAAGCAGGCTCCAGGCAGGGAGCCCAACATGGGACTCGATCCCGGGGCACCAGGATCAGGATCTGGGCCAAAGGCGGCGCTAAACCGCTGAGCCACCCGGCATGCTAATGGTTGGCTCAGTCAGAAGAGCAAGCAACTCTCAGTCTCATGGTCACAAGTTTGAGCCCCACACAGAGGGTAGAGATGACATCAAAAAAACTTTTTAAAGAAATAAATAAAATATCCTCTTTTTATATCTAAAGGGTCTATAGAAATGCCCCTTTTTCAAAGCTGATAATGGTTATTTTTGACATTTTTTTCTTCCTTGATCAATCTGTCCTAAACCAACATTTTATTCTTTCAAAGAAATTTTGGCTTTGCTAATCCTCTCTACTGTTATGCTTACTTTTTCAAGCCTTCATTTCTGTATATCTTCCTAAGGTCCTCATCCTCTACAGTTTCCTGTTTTTTTCTAACTTCCTGAGGAATATACATGCACTTTGGTAATCTTTTTTTAATTTATTTTTAATTTATTTTTAGATTTTATTTATCGATGAGAGACAGAGAGAGAGGCAGAGACACAGGCAAAGTGAGAAGCAGACTTCATGTAGGGAGTCCGATGTGGGACT